AAATTTTGGCAAAAGTGAGTTCATATGAAAACACACCATGAATTCGGTATCTCTGGCTTACTTAGTTTTTGAGATCTCATGGGGCCAAATGGACCCCCCAACCGAGCGAAGAACATTTAATCGGCCACCCGGCGCGTGTTAAAGAAAATAAAAGTTAAGTTAAAAAGCTCCAAAAAAGTGAACCACTAGAAATAAAATGAGCCCAATCAGGTAAATGCGGCGAAGGATTTTATATCAGCGCAGTGAAAAGACTTACATTATACTATGAAGGCAGACTCTTCTTGAATCCTGACATTGAAATTCCAGCTTACTAATCTTCGCTATATTCGACGACATAGAGAGCATATTCCGGCAGTTAAAGCTTGGCTGACTTGGTTCTGCTCAAATGCAGGAAGCTAAAGATATTGGGCGCGTCAAAAAATGTTGGTTTATTTTTATTTTAAGAACAAGCAAGCGAGGTGCGCCAATCTCGAATAGTATTTTGAGCTCCCAAATTCTAAATGACCGAAATATTGTCATTTTTGTGCGTTTCGCGTGATGTATCCTGTCGCGGAATAATTGTCGCATTGTCAACAGAACATTGGTGGCAGAAAAATATGTGATAAGTATATCAGGAGAGTGTGCTTTAAATTCTTTCAATCGCTTCTTCTATGAGCTGAATTCCTTTGACCGGTTAAATTTGAGATGTTTTGGAGCGCCAATTTTCCTGCGATCTCTCTACTCTTTGAAAGGTTTGATCGTCTTAGTGCTGGAATGTCTGGATCAGATGGACTAATGACCCGTGTAAGACGGAGACGGGGACTCATGCCCCGTGGCTCCTCTTGAGCGGTAAGCTCTGAGTGTGCCTTTGATTTATCTAATCGTTTTAAGAGCTTATGATCCTCCTTCTGCAAGTCTTGACTTTCAGATCTGTATCCCCATTTGTGGGAGAGTGGGGAAGGTTGCATCATTTACTCGGAGTTCCCTCCTGCTGTAAATAATGAGCATAGGCTGCAGGCAGCCATAACCTTCAGCTTATATAAAGGTCGATTTTTGGGGATCATGTCTTCATTTTTTTTTGTCAATAGCTTCTAAATAACCTCCTTGCAAGTGCTATAAGTTGACCCAGCCTGAGGTAAGCTGTATCGCATGGTGGGAAAGCTATGTTTGTGCCTCTTTTTTGTCAGAGTAAGTTGCATTGCAAGAAAGCTGAATGCGTTACAATGCGCTGACGGAACGCGCTCGTCTGTGCGATTTCGTAATTCATCGTACTGGGGACATCACATTTTTTGCTCTTTTTATCAATCAGTATTTTTTGTGCGATTGCCGCCTCAATTCTGGGCGATCAGATAGGAATCATGGGTCTACATAGGTAACATAAACGTCGAGTTGTCTAGATGACATTGAGTCATGACAAACACGTCAGTCAACACCTGACGGTAAGTCATTCAATAACATGTAATCAGTGCATTGTATCAGTGATGCAGTATGCATATTACATGCACATCCGGCACAACATGTACCGTCAGAGGTCTTGAAATAAAGTTTACGCCACCCCTAAATCCTTGGCAGACACAGACGCCAAATATTTTGCAGCATCTACGACAGATGCACTACCCCACCACTTAGCAAAACATTCCGGGTGGTCTAGTTATGCCGCAAGCCCTTAAACACAAATTTTTGTGGCGCGCGACGTATCAATCCGCCGTAGGCTGCACGCTGTTTTTCTCAATGTGCGAGTACGGTTTTTGTTTGCTACGTTTGGCCCGAGTGCCCGTCCCGGATATGCGCGCAAGGACGATCAATAGGGGGCGGCACTTTAAAAACACCTGCCTCATCAGAGGAGGGCACTTTTCTACCAGTATATGACCACGGTTCAGTACAGTAGCGGTGAGAGAGACGCTGACACGGATGCGGTGATGGAAGCCCACATCGGCCTGGCGCGCCGACGGCCAGGCGCTCGGCGCCTTCATCCCGCCAAAATGTGAGCCCGGCGGAGCAACCGCCGACCTTTCGGCGATTCTGAGATCCCTGGACTTTTTTTCCCGTTTTAGACCATTAAGAAGCGCTCTGAAGGTCTTTGGAGATCACGTGCTTGCACCTAAATTCTGATTCGTTATATGCAGTGCTCTGTTTTAGCACTTACATCGCATCACAGTGATAAGCATGTTTAATACATAAATCTGTCGCTAATATGTGTCGTGATGTAGCGTGCGGACCCACGCCTGTTATTTTTCTTTGCGCTTCAGTCAACAGTCAATAAGAAAATAGCAGATTAATGAATAGTGTGCGACCTGAATTTTGTGCCACGAGAGAGGACGCGTCGTGGTCAGGTCCGTCTTTACCCGTCAAATTAATGACCTAGCATAGCTCATATACTGCGTGCAGCTTGAGCCGACCGTAAATTTTCCACCAGCGTGATGACAGGATTTTTGTCAACACGGGCTAAATGCGTCACAAATGCTTGACTCAATGACTGCTAGCGGGTGGCGATGGAGGTAGGCTTACGCGTCAGGTAGGCCAGGGTTCCTCGCGGGTGGCGATGGAGGTAGACCTACGCGTCAGGTAGACCAGGGTTCCTCGCGGGTGGCGATGGAGGTAGGCCTACGCGTCAGGTAGGCCAGGGTTCCTCGCCGGTAGCGATGGAGTATCGTGAGCCGACGGGGAATTCCGGCTGACCGACGGATGATGCCGGCTATTCAGTGACGAGAGAGGGTGGGGGCTTCGTGGTAATGCCGCGGTGAGCTTTGCGCCAGGTGGTTGCTATTTACTGTGGATACACTCCGAGGCATGAGTGCTGTATGGCTGTGAGGCTCAGCTCATGATTGAGGAGGTCTGGTCGTTGCATATAGCCTGTGCAGACTGTATGTGGTAATCACATTGTGAGCCTCCCTCTATTATGACCGGTGGCAAGCATGCATGAGATGGTGTGAATGTATGAAGGCTGGTTGCGGAATCCCAGTAAATAGGCGCTTGCTGCCCATGTTAAGACGAAAGCATCTGTTTCGTAGAAGCCCATGTAATGTCGGTGAGCCCATGTTTTCACCACTATTTGGAATCACCCAGTTAGCTGGTTTATTACAGGGAGTTGCCTCGACGGTAATTACCTGCAGATCAATGCAGTGGGTCATCTAGCCAACAGCCGTCAACAGCGGCATCCATAATTAAGCTAAGCAAACGTGATTATTGCCGGCATGCGTATTACTCCCAATGAGCTTTTTTCTTTTGTTAGGTCGATTTTTAGTGAGTACAGCCACGGTATATCTAGAAGGGCATTTATATAACATTATGCACTACACAACGTCATGTTTAAGTACGTAACTTCAAAAACCATGCAGAAACTTTATGTAAATTACGTCAGTCACGATGATTGCTGCTTTTATGCAGACTGGGCCTTGAGCCGTTGAAAAATCTTTCGGGTGATAGCGGCAATATTCCTGAAAAAAAACAGGAACCAGTACCCCTAGTTACGCCGGCGGAAAAATCGAGATGAAGGAACGACGACGACGATACATCGGAAAAACTGCGCGCAATGTGATGGATCCCTGCGTAGCATTTACGCCAATTGCTGTAATTGTCTACGATATGCAAAAAAAATAAGTTTTCGCGTTCATCCGAAGACATGTCCACGCACGCGACAGGAGGCGCGCTGAAAGCTGGAGGGACCTGCTGTGCGTCAGCTGAGTGTCTCAATGTCAATACTGCCATTCATCGCATAGATTTGAAACAAATCACCAGATGCTACTTGGAGATGATACAACTCACCCTGCTCTCCCCTTTTTGTAACATGGTTACCGTTTCTGAGGGTCCCACAACTTCGTCAGAGCTCCGGGCATGAAGTCGCATTTTTTACGAAGGGGCCCATCAAGTATCTTGATGGGTCTGTGGTAACCACTTTTTCTTTTCTTGTTGCTGCTCTTCTCTCATAACATCCAACCTCGAAGCTCTTGCTTGCCTGGGAACAGACGCCTAACGTCTTCTTGGAGCGTTTGAGCTCCATTGTCATACGCCTCCTGCTGTGCCGCGCTCCGCCACCTCTCTCCGCCGGCGTCCTTCCTCATGTGTCCGATCCGCACCGCATCTTACCACGCATCTTACCTTACCACGCGTGGTTCATCTTACCACGCAGCTGGCCTGTAGCCCCACAATGGAATCAAGGCCCCCTCTTCGTACCTCTTTGGGCCTTTGGACACATAGGTGGTTCATCGACGTTTAGGTTTAAGGTTTTGTTTACGTTTTGTAGTTTACGTAAAGGTTATATTTAGATCACTTTCAGAGGAAAGACAGAAAGTTGCCTTTGAAGAGGCACGCCATCTATGGCATGCCTCCTTATTTAGAACAGAATGACTGAATTATTATCGAGCACCTGTTCTACGGTTGCACCTCCGTTCGAAATCACGTAAGGCTTCACCCTTTCAGAAAAGGTTGTAATCGCTGATATGCCATTGGAATACAGGATCAGTTCTGAGTCACAGAAGTCACTCTGAACTTTTTCAAAGTGTAGGTGGGTATTAACATTTCATTTTCTATCCAAAAATTGACTTATGGTGACATTTTCAAACTTTCGGGGAAAAAACGAAGGAACAAATTCTAACGAGCTTGTTAGATGCGTACTGTCCCGTTTTGTACCGCCACGCACACCTTTACTTCATCCTTCCTGCTTATCAGCCATTGCCCCAAGCGATTTATCCTGACCGCATCAATGCACCTTTATCTTTTCGCATCTACAGCTGTGGATATCATTACCGCTCTACCAATGTCCGGACACCTGTCCGATGGCGGCGACGCCTCTGGTTCCGGCCAGCGACGCTGGTCGCCGGCCCCGCTCCGCCGCCGCCCGCCCGTTAGCTCCTCCGCGGGCGGCGGCGGCGCGGCCGTCAGCTGGCGCGGCCGTGACGTCACCGGCGGCCGAGTGACGTCACGGGCGGCTGTCGGCCGCACCCGCGGCGGCGGCGGCGGGCGCGCCAGTGTTGCAGCAAAGCGAGCGAGCGTGGCGAGCGCGCCGGCGGCGCCCGACACGTCAGCGGCCCCGCGCGCCGCGACCGGACAGTGCACGAGCGGCGGCCGACGGCGCGCCATGCGGTAGACGGAGACGTGCGCATCGGCCCCCCGCCGCCGCAGCCAGCGCAGATCGCAGGTATGGCCGTCGCCGGCGGCGCCGCCCGTCGCGCTGGCGAAACGGCCGGCGCCGGCCGCCTTCCTTTGTCAGGTGCCGCCCGCCGGCCGGCTGGCCACGCGCGGCGAGAGGGCGTGCGGCGCCCGCAGCCGGGCCGGTGCCCTCCCCGCCGGCTGCGAGGGCACCGGATGTCTGACCGATGGCCGGACAATGGCCCAGGCAGACAATGCCGGTGCGGTCGAGCCTCACGGCCCGTCAAAGCCTCGACATATGTCGGTGGCGTGTCACGGCAGCGGTCTGTTGTATCGGGCTGCGGGCCGCCGGCGGATTACCGATGGCTCTGGTGTTTGAGGGTCAGCAGGCCGCGCGGCGCTCGTGCCCCAGGTGGGGGCCTAAATCCCGCTAAACAGCCCCGCCTCTTCGGGCACGTGTGGCGCCCCATGGGCGGAGGCTCTCGAGGGTTAATCGGCCGGGGCTTCAACCCTCCCGCTGGAGGACGATGACCCGGCCTGGAGACAGCTGTTCTCGGACCGTGCTCAACATGCTTTGCCGCAGCGCCCCCCACGTTGAGTTTGTGTCCTGGTGATTAACGTTAGGCCTACTTTGTGCCGGGGTGATGAACGTTAGGCTTAGTTCGTGTCCTGGTGATGAACGTTAGGCTTAGTTTGTATCGTGGTGAGGAACGTCAGGCTTGAAATCAGGGCAGAAAATTGAGCAAATCCTGCTTAACACATGTATGCAGTCTGTATGGGAAGCCACGTTCATTGTGTCTTCTAGTACATGTCATGTCTGGTTAAAGGGAGCGTTCCACCTTTGTATGGAGCTCTGAACTGAAATAGCAATCTTAAGATCATTCGGTGCAGTTCACAGCCCCGCCCTCTCTGGGACCTAAGTCGCTCTGTAGATCCCGATCTGTGCTACACGCCCGCGAAGAGGTGCAGACTTCTCCGAGGAGACTATTTCGAGGTCACCCAGGCATCCATGACACCATAATGATGTCATTTTAATCCTTTTATTACATTAATGATGCGGCTATCAAGGCTAACAGAAATATGATGGTAGAACCATTCATATATGACGTCCATGAGCACGATTTCCAGACATAACGGCCATCAATTGGCTCTCAATCTTTGTTATGCTAGGTACGATGACATAATCAAACAGTGACGTATTGAGAAGTATATCTACTAAGCAGAGAAATTATGCTGTCTAGACCAGTTTTTCTACTTAAATGTACACCCATAGCTATTAAGGAGGGTATTTAAGCGGACCTGATGCCCGCTTTAATATATTCCAATATGTAACATTCCTTTACCAGTGATTTTGCCGCGACTCGTAACATGGACAGTGTGTTAGCGTTGATTCTGAACTGTGCTGGATGGTGTTAAGCAGGGATTTATTTCAGCAGGTTAGGACGCGTAACAGATGGAAATGTGCTGACACATCAGCAATGTCATGTGCTGCGTCAGTGAAGAAGAGCTCGCTTTCGGATTTTCTTGCTTCGGACGAACTTCGTTGAGTGATGCTTGAAGATTTGTTCGGACGAGACCAGGTTTTGTATTGGGCTTCGTTTGGAACCCTGGCAGCCATCATGAGCAATTTCAAGGCTGTGGGATCAATGGGTGGGCGAAAATGGGGCAATAGTTTGGTCACGTCGCTCACCCAGACTTATTCGTACGCGTGGAACCTGAGCCCGGGCCGTGCAGGCGCTCGGGAGGGGCTGCCGCAGGGCTGGCTCATGGCTGCCGCAGGGCTGGCTCGTGGCTGCCGCAGGGCTGGCTCACGGCTGACGCGCGGCTGGCTCATGGCTTACGGGTACAACATACTCCCGGTGGGAAAAGAAGCGGTCAGGGTGCGGAAGAAGCGGTGAATGGGACGAGAGGGGGGATTGAGAGCCAGATCAGGTCGTCAGCGGTCAGGCCAGGAAGTGCCTTTCCCCGATAGCCTTCAGGCAGCAATATTCAAGTTGCGTTCGGTCACGCAATGCTTGTACAAAATGGATGAACACTCAGCAGTTTTGAAAGTGGGCGTAAACAAGGCGGGACTATTAACGCAGCCTTTGGTTTTAGAGTTCGTACACAAAACATTTCGATCTCGCCGATATCACCGTCACAGGCTGGCCACGCGGTGCTTTTGACTCCACCGTGTCGCACGCTTGGCACCATATTTTCGTAGGTTAAGCCGCGATAACGAGTTCGTTCCGCAGTTTCACGGCCAACGGCGGTCCATGCAGGCTTGCCTGAGGTAAAGTCGCCGCTGCTTAAGAAAAGAACGGCACGCCGCTGGCTTTCATTCGGAAACTGGTCTTTCTGGTCACCGGTACGATACGCGCACAATCGCGGCCATCTGACCGAAAGTGACCGGGTCCAGTCACTCAAGGTCGCCGCCGCGCGGCCGCCGGCCGGCGCCGGCGCCGTGCGGGCCTCGCGAGTCGCCGGCAACACACCGGCCGGCGCCGGCTGTGATTGGTGTCAGTCGGATCTGGCGGGGCGGGCGGAGTGCCGGTCAGCGGCACCGGGACTCTCTCCGGCGCCCGGCATAACGATGGCGCTTCGCCGCGCGCGCCTCACCCGTGCCAAGAATTTGGCGTGATGACTGCTTTCGACGGCCGACTGGCCGACCGGCTGGCCGGCCGACGGAGTATTGAGGTCAGCCACACACGTGCGCTGGCGCGAGAAGAGAGAGGAGCGAGGAAGGCGAAAAGAGGGGGGGGGGGGGCAAAGGAGGGTCGGCAGATGGCACTCGAACATGTCACTATTGTCACAGCACGCGGCTAGGAACACAGCCCCGCCCACGCCTCGTAGCGACACTTCCTGGTGGAGGCGTGCCGAACACAAAGCACCGCCGGCGCCGGCAGGACAACGACGTCCCGACGCGACCAAACAGCCAGCAGACAGACATCGAGACACGGCCGCCAAATGTGCGGAAGCCGAGACCCCGCAGCGGCCGGCATGCGGCGCTCCCTAGCGACGGACGCGGCGGCGGCGGCGCCGGGGCGAATGAGCACGCGGCCCACATCGGCCGGGCGGCGCTGCATTCCACCCGGACGCGAGCGGCGCCGCCCGAGGAGCGCCGGCCACGGCCGCACGCGCCGAACGACGCCAATGAGGGGCCGATCGTGGCCGCTGGGGTGTGGCGGGCTGACGAGTGGCGCTGTCTGCCCGCAGAGTGCGTGGGCTGGATCCTGGATGCAAGCGACGTCGTGGGTATCCTGCATTCAGATGTCAAATGCACGGCTGTGGGGAGCGCATATCGTGAGGTCAAAATCGACACACAAGCTTCTTTGTTTTTATTTCATTTTAGACAACTTCGTGAATTATTTAATGATTTATTTAAGCACTGCCAGGACATCGCTTCAAGCGGTTTGTGTTTTTACTGACTGATTGGCCCGCGTCATAATTGTTCTGTTTGTTTCCGTCGCCGGCGCAGTGTAATGGATGGCTTCTCTGACCTCAGGATGAGCTCGGACTTTGAGCGCGTTCGGCGGGCCTGCCTGCGCCTGGGAGAGCTATGGCAGGACCCCGACTTCCCGGCCGTCCAGGCCTCGGTCTTCTACCACCAGACTCCACCCTTCCAGTTCGTGTGGAAACGACCTGCGGTGAGTGTGGCCTCAGGAGCAACGTGGCGGTGAGTTCGATTGGGATATGGAGGTTTTGTTACATGGAAATACACCTTATATGCAATACACTTCAACAGCTTTCGAGCATGAGCAAGTTTTGAAAAGAAACCATCTTATTTGTGCATTTAATTTTGTCGTATTGAATCGAACAAAGATCCATGCCGAGCATCTATTCCGGCCATCTTGACCTAAGCCCAGTTGTAAACTTGAGATCACAGGTCATTCTTATCAAACAGTCATGAATCAAACCAAAACTGTCGCGCTCTTGCGTCTTGGCCGGGTCAGACCGAGTGGCGCCTTACGGGCGCCACTCGGTGTCTAGTCCCAGTGCAGCCTGGACAAACTCTCGCGACCCAGGTCGCTGTGGTCGGCCGCTGGTGGGGGCCGCGGGCAGGCCGACGTGAGGGATCAGTGGAGCCGCGGCTCTCTCCCTCTTCCCACAGCTCTGCGTATGGAGCTGCGGGGATGAGATTTCCCCCCAGTGTTATTGCGCGGCAGGAAGAGGTCTCCAAAAGCCCGACAGAATGTAAACACTCGTGACTGGCTCTGAAGAGAATGCTCACATTGGACTAAAACACTTGAGGTCGACTTGACCGAACTGGTTGAGGTTGGGGTTGAGTTTTGGGCACGTGCCCCGTTGTCCCCCCTCCCCTTAACGCGTCCCTGTTTTCGTCAACAACAGCCGCCTGTTGATAAATCAGGTAGATGAAAATGTGACCCTGGAAGGACGCAAAATAGAGCCTCCTTAAAAATTTACTTCTGGGCAGCATGCAAGTTCCTAATAACGACCACTGGTTCGTCTTTCCTACCGCAGGCACTCATTAATGCTGCTGACGAGCTCGTCCTCCTACCGCACGCGGTGCTCCCTATCTATGCGTCGTCACAGTCACTGAGCTGTGTTTCTGTGCGGCATTGCAGTTAGCAGTCGTGGAGTTTGGGCGTGCCTGTATAGTGGGTCAGTCAGGCGTCTGCGATCGTGCACGACTTCAATAACTTTTTGCGTAATGATGTGTGGTTGACCTTCCACCTGCATGGTGGGGGACGTGCGGGCGTGACCGCCGTTAGCAGCACGCCTCCCATTCTTTAAGCTTGAGCTACCCTAGACATTGTAGCTTGTGCCGCTCGCTGATCGGGTGCATCGCTTGGATGGATTTCTTGTAACTTTACCGTAACCAAAAGCTGTCTGTGCGTGCAGCTCATACTGTCCTGTCCAGCTTATTAAATTGGCTTATGTGTTATGTTATAGCCTATTTAGACCGGCTAGCTTGATGTCAGCGATATAACAGTTTGTCACTCGGGAGTATTGTCTCTTAGAATGGAGGTGTGTAAACTTCTCTTAGTGGTAGTCATGGCCTATGCTTTCGTTGAGCATGTTACTATGAACAAATTTGCATAATTGTCAAAGAACTAGCCGGTTTTTACAACCTCATCTATACTACATTAGGCAGAATGTAAAGACAGTCTGTGCTGCAGAGGAATTATGGAATTTCTTGCCGACTCCCAGACCTTCTCATCTGATCACCATCGGATGCGGTCACACAACTGGTTCGGAGTTATTGAGCAGTGGATACTGACTTAATCGAGCGTTAACTGACCATATCTGGAATGCGCTTTGGGTTCTGTAGGTAGGAATTTCCGTGCTCGCAATGCATTCCGGTAAGGACTGTGGCCGCAGACGCACGGTCCCCGGAATACTGATAGAACATAACCGGTGCACGGCGGCATTCGTGCCCTGTGGAAGCGTTATAACGCGCCCCATCTGACCGACTGTTCAGCCAATGTGTGTGGCGGGCAGTTGTACGTTGTTCCATTGTGCATCGTCTGTCTGAGCCAGAGCCGCCCGGAGCCGCGTTCTTGTTTACGCGTCTGGCAGCGATTGAGCACAACACGACAGCGTGATGCGCTGGCACATGATTTTGAAACACTTCCTCTGACTTTGCATCATGTGTTAGTTGAGCCGGAAATCCGAAGCTTTTGGTTTCCATAGTACGATGCTCGTTAAAGAACAACAAGCGATAACTGGCGCCGGATTGCTTTGGTGCATGTCTAATGAAAGTTAGTCGTGCTGCTGTTGGGCATAGGACTTCTCATGCGCCCATTCGCACACCCTTGACATCAGAACTCAGCGACGGCCGGCCAGCACCGTGGCATCGTTCTCTGTAGACTCCGTTATCCAGTGACGTCATAGCCAGCAGGCGACCGCAGCTGGCGTGCCAGCTGTTGGGCATGGCCCAGTAGTGGATGTGATAGTCCCAGTGATCGTTATCAAACCCATCACAATCGCACCACCTGCCGAAGACGCCTCAGCGTCACTCGACGCCGGCTAAGTGTTGTCTGCCCCAGTCCACCCCCGGTTTGGGGTGAAAAGATAAGTAAAGCAAACTAAGCACATTCGCCACAAACGTGTTGCATTATGTTTTAGATTATTCTTGTTGTTCTTTTAGCGATCTCGACCTCCAACTGGTGGCCAAACCAAACATCAGGAGGGCTTCTGTTGCTGCCCAAGTTCCCCAAGATGCCCAAAGCTTCACCCATGTTTGGTGGTGATTTCCAGCGCAGGCCCGCGGCCCGCGGCTGGGCCGCACGCCTCGCCGCCGTAGCGCCGCGCACGCCAGCGCTCACTTCGTGCATGGCGGCCGCTGTCACTCCGTGCAACCGTCTGGCGCATTGTCTGACAGCGCCGCCGGGACACGGCGCCATCGACGGCATACCGACGCTGGGCCAACCGCCGTCCGGCAGAACTCGGGCGTGGTCTGCAGCGGGTGCGGGGGGAAGCGTGCCGCTACTGCAGTCCAGGAGACTCGCGGGTGGAATAGGACGAAACGAAGCGAGGTTTCTGCGCAGAGTTGACATGCCGCGCGTCCAGGTTTGAGAGGAGGCGCCGCGGAGCTTGGGCACGGTACCGACGTGCCGAGCCTCGAGCCTCGAGCCTCGAGCTGTGCGGGGAGCTCGACCGCCCGCGCGACCTTGGCACTGAGCGCCGCCTGTGACTTCGCAGGAGCTGACTCCAGAGCCGCTGTTCATTCGAGACTCAGTGCTGGATTTCGACGCCCTTCCTGGAAAGCTGGGTGAGTGGGCCGGCGGCTTAATAGCTTCGGTGGCAGGCGCGCGTCCAGGTTTCAATCAGGAAGCTTAACTACTGCAAGTGCCCATGGAAGCGTGAAAAAGCTAGAGTGCATGCGGATAACGAGATGTGTCGGGGGGGGGGGGGGGGGGCTGAATAAGAATTGGTCGGCCTGACATGACCGGTGCGGCTGAGCGAGCTCCTGGTCCGGCGCCTCCTGAGCGACGCGGTCGAGCCGGGGGCCCGGTCCGGCCGTCCGGGTTAGTGGCACGTGCGGCGGAACAGGACGGTCGGAGCTCTGCGGCCACCACCTCGTCCCAAGCCGCCGATGCCGCTCTTGCGAGTCGCCGCGCTCGCCTGGCTTATCGCTTTCTCCAGATGCATATCTGTTTGAGTAAGTCGTCGGCGGGGTCAGGTGTGGCAGCCGGCCGGTTTAGAGGGAGGGAAAACCGTGTCCTTTCGTCGCGGTCCCGCCTGTCTTCCTGCCAAAGTGATAGCTAGAGTAGACATGGGCTGCAATGGCTGTGTTTTGAGAGCCACGTGTGTGTGTGTTGGTGAAGACTCTCAAACGCGGTGGGCTGAAACTATATGAACAGCGCACCACAACGAACGGTGAAGCGACGACTGCGATCACCGTTTCATCATTCATTATGGTGCGCAGTTCATAAAGTTTTAGCCACCGCGTTTGAGAGTTCGCGCAAACTTCTTTCTGACCAACTCCGCTTTTTCTGGCTTCAAATTTGATCACCTAGGCTAGCGAGCCCAAGTCGAAAAGAAAGGCCCTAATGGCCACCGGTTCGGGAGATGCACCACGAGTGTTATGACTACATGAGCTCGACTGCCGTCCCCTTCCGTGTTTCCTGTTGGGATTGACCCTGCGACCTCCGTTGCAGGGGATCGCTGGTTCATATCGTGCATAGGGTGTCTGCAGATGACGCGAGGCCTCTTCTACCGTGTGGTGCCGGCAGACCAGGCTTTCGGAGGCGACGTCTATGCTGGCATCTTTAGGTACGGGACGTCACTTCACATTGCCTGTCCGATGCATCTCAGCGAGATCGCTTGACGGTCAAACGTAGCAAAGGCTGGATTTTGCGTGCCGCAAAGACAGAAGTCCTTGTAAGATGGTGCAGTGGTCTTAGTGAGCAGGTCGAAGGGTTTCACTTTGGTTGTAGATATGTGAACAGCAAATGATGTAGCACATCCTATCGTGACCTGCACATTGCCCTGGGAAATCGCCGCTAGCCGGTCACTGATGGCCGGACACAGCTTTTCATATGGCTGGAAACACGATAGGTGCAAATGGTTTCTCTGTATATTTCATTTACCCACGTATTTATCTTCTTTGACTGAAGGTTTAGTGAGGTCGCTAAGGTGGATACCGCTGAATAACCCACCTGTCCAGACGCGAGCCCATTCATAACCTAAATCGCTTCCGCACTTCTCAGGTTCCGCATATTTTGGAACGGCGAATGGGTAGAGGTGCTGGTCGACGACCGGCTGCCCACGGTCAACGGCAAGCTGGCGTTCACCTCGTCCCAGAGCCAGCAAGTGTTCTGGATGTCCCTGCTGGAGAAGGCTTGCGCCAAGTGAGTCCCCCCCCCCCCCCGACCAGCGCCCTGCCACGGGCGCATGTGTCATCAAGCTGTCTGTGACGGGAAACTCTGCCAGCTAGCTAGAATAATATTTGATGACTTGTAGTCACAGTCATGGTGAGCTGTTAATGCTGTCGCGGGTGAGTATCTGGGAGGTGTTGATTCTTCACCTCTTCATCTGCTAAAAAAGTCAGAAGTGTGATCCCTTTGCGAACGGCAGGACTGGGCTGAAGCCGTTGGAGGCGGAATATTAACGTTCTCATCCCACCTGGCAACAATTCCAGCTCTTTCACTCTGCTATGGTTATTTTGCGATGCGTTAGAGTAAAAACCTGCCGAAATGCCTCCTATCCATTCTTAGTACCAGTGTCTAGCGCTCTAAGAAGTTCAGGTCCGCGCTCGCGCCCAAATCGTCCCGGCCACCGTCGCAACTCCGCCCGCGGAGGGCACTCCGTGAGCCCAGCCCTGTCACGTGATCGCGTCGTGCCGGCAGGCTGCATGGGTCGTACGAGGCGCTCAAGTACGGCAGCACGCTGGACGGCCTGGCGGACATGACTGGTGGCATCACCGAGACGCTGAGCATCCGAGAGGACGCCACGGGTGCGGCGCACACCATCGGCCGCCTGCTGCAGCAAACCTCCATCATCACGGCCACCGTACAGACCGGCTCTCAGGTACGGTACACCGTGCAGACCGGCACTCAGGTACGGTACACCGCACAGACGGCCACTCAGGTGCGGTGCGACGCACAGACAGGCACTCAGGTACGGTACACCGCACAGACGGCCACTCAGGTGCGGTGCGACGCACAGACAGGCACTCAGGTACAATACACCGAACAAACGGGCACTCAGGTACGGTGCACTGCATAGACGGCCACTCAGGCATGATGTAGTGTACGTAGCGGTGTTCCCGTGTGTGATGCACTGTATGCACGTGAGGTCCGGTGTTACGCAGTGCATTGTGCATCATCGGCCGCCTGCCGTGCCAAACCTTTAACACCGTGGCAACAGTGCACACTGGCGCGCCATAGGGACACTGCGCAAATTAGGGTCCAGCCATTATGCTCTTACAGATGAGATTGCAGGCACGTTCACTTCGTGCTGTCTTCAGACACAACACACCGCACACCCCACTCAGGCACTTATATTGCTCAGACAGGCATTCACACGATTCAAAGAACAGAAGGACACTCCCACTGTACCGGCACTCATGCGTCACTGCACTGCCACTCAAAGGTCATTGCACCGACACTCACACTTCACTGCACCGACACTCATACGCCACTGCACCGACATTCGTAGTCACTGCACCGACGCTCAGACATCACTGTACTGCGACTCATACGTCACTGCAGCGACACTGAAACGTCACTGCACGGACGAGCATTCAAGTAAGCGTGAAGGTCATGGACCTCCCTCAGACATCTTCCCCAACAGTACTAATCATAAAAGGTGTGCAGAGAGCTCCCACTTTCTAGAACTCGGGTCGTGTGGCTTGTGCACGAATGCATTTCAGCTAACATTGCGTGCGGACATGGCCATCGCAGTCCTAAGCATCGATATGTAACCAAACGCACTCATTCATGACTGGTGTTGCACGCGTAACAGCTGTTTTCTTCACTGAAGTCGGGCTGGTGCGGGCGGCGTGGCTCCATTGGCAGAGTGCCAATGCGCTTATTGTCGTGAGTCGGGGCGTGGGTTCGAAACTCACCGCCGGCCTGGTGTTTGTCGTCCCCGCGGCAGTCGGCGGGAACGGTTGTGAAGCCAGGAGCCATTACAGTCTTGTGGTCGTCATGCAACGTGTCTGCGATAAAACCACTATCCGACGAAAACATCAGCAGTTATTGGTACGTTCGTAATATGTTTCATGAGGCCTTGGTTGGTGTACTCTATCATGTCCTCATGTGTGATCCATGCTTCCGTCTTCCCCAGACGCCGAAGAATGGTAGTCCAGAAAAGCTCGCTAACGGCATATTGCTGGGCACCAATTACCGGGTGCTGGACATAGAACGGGTACGTTCGCGTACGCCTCTTAAACTCATGACCGATTACTTTGCCTGGTGTTTTTACAGTGCAGCCTAACAACATACATTAAAATGACCATTAACGCATAGTTAAGGCCATTAACTAAACATAGAACTTAAGACGAAATTACCTTGAGACTATTGGATATCAAGGTTTGCCTTTCTTCAATCTTTATTTCTATTTATCCCATCATGTGCTCTAAGCTTACCAATTTTCATGTGAAATGAGCAGGCGTGGAAATCAGGTAGGAGAGGGGAGGCGGGAGAGGGGATGGGGCGAGCAGCGATGGCCTTTTTTCGGTAAATCACAGCATTTTTTGCTCCAATTCTTAACAGGAACTTGACACTGACCCTAGAACATTGCGTAATAAACATTCCTTTAAGAAGTGTGCTGCCCGCAGCGACCTTCTGCGAGTATGCGTGCCCGCCGGCCGCGCCTCGGCCGTTGACCACTGACCCGCGGCGCCTCAGGTGACCCAGTTCAGCGGCGAGCCGACCCAGCTGGTGCGCCTGCGCTCGTCGCTGGGCCACAACGGCGAGTACGTGGGCCGCTGGGCCCGCGGCTCGCTCGAGTGGGACGAGGTCAGCGCGCTGGAGCGGGAGCGACTCGGGCCGCATACGCTCTCCGACGGCGAGTTCTGGTGAGCGAGCCGGCGGCGTGAGATGTCTCGAGCGGGCCGAGGGCGAGTTCTGGTGAGCGAGCCAGCGGCCGTGAGATGTCTCGAGCGGGCCGAGGTCGAGTTCTGGTGAGCGAGCCGGCGGCCGTGAGATGTCTCGAGCGGGCCGAGGTCGAGTTCTGGTGAGTGGGCCGGTGGTGATGGGTTGTCCCGGACCGGCTGGGTTCGAGTACTGGTGAGATGTCTCGGGCGGGCTGGGGTCGAGTTGCGGCGAGTGGGCCGGTGGTGATGGGCTGTCCAGGACTGGCCAGGGTCCGGGACAACCCCAGGGGCTCCCCTGGTGGCGAGTATGGCTACCAGTACTTGAGCGCGTTCACACCATGGTGTGTGATGAGGACAGCGTGGGCCATGTCAAGGTGGCGGATTGTTCAGCTCAGGCTGGGCCACGTTGCCGTGGAGAGTTGTGACTCGTCAGTTGGGTCACAGTGACGTACGGACAAGGGACAGGGGCAGCGACTTCCCAACTCCGAGAACATTGAGCGCTAGTCCTTGGAAGTTGATGTGCATGGACGCAAGGCAAACGATACACTTTGTCATTATTTCACGTTTTGAAAGCTATCTTGCATCCTAATTGCTGATATAAAGAGTGCTACTTCCGTACGACTAAAACATGCGATCGCCTTACTAAAACTCGCCAAGTTTACCCCAGACTGACCACGTTTCAAAATCTCCACCGTCGCGGCCATCTGGTGCATCACCATCACGTTCCACCGCAGGATGCCGTACTCGGACTTCGTGAAGACGCTGACGCACCTGGAGGTGGTGCACCTGGACCAGGACACCGCCAGGGACGAGCCGACGCTGCGCGCCCGCGTGCCCTGGCAGGTCAAGGTGTACCAGGGCTCCTGGAGACGCGGCGTCACCGCCGGCGGCTGCAGGAACAACGCAGGTAACGCCACTCGTCTGCCGCGGCACGGACGGGAGGCGGCGTCAGCTCTTCGCACGTGTTGGCTTGCTTTCGTGGTGTGCAGAAGCGGTGGTATTACCCCTACGGTGCTGTGGCAACCTGTTGAGTGTTGTTGAGTGAAGAGATGCATTTGAGCCGAACATGTGGCCACGGCTCTAAATTCTAACGGTGAGCCATAGCTCTTAAATTTCTGTCAGAGCTATACCACAGTCGTTTGGCCGCGTCTGAATGGGTGGTCAAAGCGTACGGCAACACGAATCGTGTACGTTATTTGAGTAGATCCGACTTATTATAGTGTGTTACCAGGGACGTGCATTGATCCTAGATGTAGGAGAAGCAACGCAACTTTTACCGATTGGTCCAAATTTCCACTTGCATGCAAACAGATCAGGCTGGATCGAAATCAGGCTAGCCACGATCGGACCAGATCTACGAATCAAATGCCAGTGACTAGCTGGCACAAAAAGAATCTCACCGACTGATATCCCTCTTCGCCCTATCCCATTCACAGATGTTCGACCTTGCCGGTGCGTCCTCAGAATCTCAGCTGCGGTCATCATGACAGTTCCTATAGTTAGATAGTGGATTTTGCTTGTCGATTTAATATTTATGCGTTCCATTAAACAACGCCAGAAATGTTTATGTGTCTGCGTCTATGCTTACAAACCATGCGGGTACTCTGGTTCATAATTGGTACGTGGCTTATATTGTAAATGGAAATCATCGGCCGCCATCAAATCTGGCCTTGTATGACGTCGTTGTCATCCTGTAGGTGTTTTTCCTTGCACGAAGTTTGGTAACCTGTTAGGCAAGACCCCTCAGAACTGTTCACTGTTAGCGCTGATACTGGTATTGGGAAGGCTGGGGAGGGGATGTCCCCTGCTCCTCACAGTACACTGCCGCTGGCATGGGACGTACAAGTACAACTGGCAAGTACAACATGACGATATATATATATATATATATATATATATATATATATATATATATATATATATATTCAAACTTACCAAAACATCATGTTCGACTCAAATGCGTCTCCTCACTCAACAGCAGAATGATATATATATATATATATATATATATATATATATATATATATATATAATATATATATATATATATGTGTGTGTGTGTGTGTGTGTGTGTGTGTGTGTGTGTGTGTGTGTGTGTGTGCGTGCATGACGATGGCGATATCGTAATGCGCGTATTACGGCTTTTTCCTCGCTCCCCCACCCTCCCAAACGCACGGTTACGTCGTGCCTACGTCCCCCGAACTCTCTCTTGTTTCGACCGCATTATTTACTACATGTGTGCCGGTCACGCAAGCCATCATCAACAACAATAGCGTCGCGATAAATAACGCTGATTGAAACACGGTAATCAGAAAACAGCCCGTACCAAGACCTGAACCGTCGACCTTGTGGTTGTCAGCAAGGTCAGCTTCTCGTGAGCTGCGACTCTCCGCTGCCCCAGACACGTTCCACATCAACCCACGGCTGCACCTGGTGCTGACGGAGCCGGAGGAGGTGGTGGTGTCGCTGACCCAGCACACTGTGACCGAGCCTCGCGTCGTCGGCTTCACCGTCTACCCCATCGCCAACGGCAGCGTCGACGCCATCGACAACTCCTTCTTCAAGAAGAACAAAAGCCTGGTCAACTCGCAGTACACCAACGGACGACAGGTGAGTGTTGGGCGATGTCTCACTTCATGCAATAGGGCATTGGTTGATATGTGACGCGGCATGTGGTTGATGCATTCCGCGGTGTGGTTGCCAACACATTGAGCTCAACTTTTCAAATTCAGCGGGTTGTTGACGTGCCGTGACACGTCCCTTTTGCAAGTACACGCGTCCACACAGTTCAGCAGATATAAAACGGCTAACGACACGTCCTTTGTAATGGCGCTTTACCTTTGTTTTACTTTGTAAAACGCTTTACCAACACGTCCCTTGTGCTGGCGACACCGGACCACTCTGCTAGAGCCCTCAGTGCCGGTGGTCCGCTAACTCGCCTCGCATGCCGCGCCAGGTGTCGCACCGGTGTCCGCTGGAGCCGGGCGGCTTCATCATCGTGCCGACGACGTTCGAGCCGTGCCAGGAGGCACAGTTCACGCTGCGCGTCTTCTCGCTGAACGCGGTGAAGCTGCGCTACATCGACACCACACCAGCCGTGCTGCGCAACCCCATCCTCAAGGTACGCCACAGGGAGCCGCCGTCTGTGCTGTGCAACCCCATCATCAAGGTACGCCGTCAGAGGGCGCTGCCTGCGCTGCACAACCCTGTCCTCAAGGTACGCCGCCGGAGCTCGCTGCCTGCGCTGTGCATACCCATCCTCAATGTACGCCGCAGGGAGCCACCGCCTGTGCTGTGCAGCCCCATCCTCAAGGTACGCCACAGGGAGCCACCGCCTGTGCTGTGCAACCCTATCCTCAAGGTACGCCGCCAGAGGGCGCTGCCTGCGCTGCGCAACCCTATCCTCAGGGTACACCGCCAGAGGGCGCTGCCTGCGCTGCGCAACCCTATCCTCAGGGTACACCGCCGGAGCTCGCTGCCTGCACCGTGGCGTGTACCGAGTGCAGCTGCGGAATCCGATAGTGCGGTAATGTGGCTGTAAGTGCTGGTGTCCGATGTGTGTGTGTGTGCACGCGTGTACTAGTGTTGGTGATAATAGACGACTGTGTTGGGATATCAGAAGCATTTTTGGAATGATAAGGTCAGATGACTGGATGCTGACGAAGCCCAGCTGGGGACTGGATTAATTTTTACTTCTGCTGGGTTGGCAGCTCGTCATAGCTAACTTGACACATGTTGAGTGATAAACCATGGCATCAGAATGCCAGTGCTGCCCACCTATGCCATGGTGGTTACGGACCTGCTCGTACTTTGTTTGAGACCGGTTTTGTCCGCACGCGTTTTCTGTCTTTTGCTTTGGGTGGGGGCGGGCACAGGCTATGAAAACACGTGTGCGTCATAAAGATATCCTTCAGACCCAGTCAGACGTGCTATTTTTCTTCTGCGTATCGCGTTATTTCACACTGCGATGTTATTTTGCTTCATTTTTCCAGGCCCCTTCGAGTGTCGATGGCAAGGGCTTCAACCAGTATGAGGCCGTCTTCCTACAGCTAGCCGACGAGCACAAGACTGTCAACGCCTTTGAGCTGCAGGAGCTGCTCGAGGCTTGTCTACCGAATGGTGAGGTTAATCCTTGTTCAACGAGGCTAGGGAATCATAACAGGCCTCATGATGTCTTTGGGGATAGCTCTTAGAATACTAAACGGTTGGTGCTGACAGTTGCATTTCACGCCTACGAAAAATTGAAGACCCATCTTGCATAAGCTACAAATGAATGGCGAACAGGTAATAATAGACCTCATCTTTTGTAGACCAGGAACGATAACCTGACCAGGACCAGGAACCTGACGTGTCACGTTTACCGCACGACCTGCTTTCTAAATGCCATGTTGGTATTCATTTCCCGTGCTTATGCGATCTGACGACGCGATTTCATAAAACACACTTGGTTCAGGTATCTGGGGTCAATACAGGTGCATGGCCGAGATATATAAATAGGTACATAAAAATATTGAACCTTTCATCAGATACTTTGGCACTCATTATAGCGCATAAGCCGAAGCTTGATTCAGTTTTATTGCTATTTGTGGTCGTTTGCTCCGTCGTCGCATCACGCTTGGATAACGTGTTGATGAGCCTGCACACAGGGCTCTGCCCAGATGACCTGGCTTACCACATCACAAGTCGCACCCAGCGATGGGCGGCTATCGGTGGGCTGGGATGTCTAGTGTTAAAAACTGCACGACAACATGCTCCACGCTCTCATAACAAGCATAGTCTTGAAGGTGCCACAGAGGTCTCCATTCACTACCGTTATCCAGATAACCTGGTTCTGCTCACCAAAGGTCACACCTACACTGATGTTTCTTGATTATGCAGTGTTGCAAGAGCTTTCCGATGCTTGTTCCACTCGACTCAACACTTAGTGTTTGGCTTTTGAGATAGCGAGGTCTTCAGAGGTATCTGATGAAGGTCATAAATACGTGCACTAGTGAGGGTTACGAACATTTGACACCGGGAGTGAGGGGAAAATAGCGGTGGCGCACAGAACGGTACGGAAAGAGCTGGCTTGGTGCGCAGTTGATGCACGCTTCGGAACGCCTTTGCAATGGTCCTTTAACATGGGGACTTCATTGTGAATTGCCTTCGAACCAAAACATCCAAGACACCTTGGTAAAAGGGTATTTTTTTATTTTGGTAATTTTGGTAATATATAATAGGTAATTTTGGGCGTTGGTAAAATTTACGTTGGTTTATCTTAAACGGGGAAGCCTCTGATGTGCACCACTACGCGGACGTGTTAAGCAATGCAATCTTGATACTCCGTCAAAGTTGCCTGACGTGGATGAACCTTTGCTTTGAGACCGCTAACCTCGGATATCGTGCTGGGTAGCAGAGCAGCAATAGTTCGTGCGCGATTTCCACCCATCTCATATGCCAAGGTACATCGTTGTTCGGGTTTAACGCATCCAACATGACCCATCTCTCCATCTATCCATCCATCTCTCCCATCTCTCGTCTCGAATCCGTATCTCACAGAGTGGGCGAGGAGCGGAGGTTTTCACTGGCTCTGCTAACAGGCATTGCTTCCAATCTAGGGATATGGGTGAGAGGGGAGGCGACAAATATCGTGCGCAGCGGTGCAGAGGCCCAGCAAGGCGGGAGCCGCACCCTCTGACACGTCCTTCCGCTTCAGACTACATCAAGAGCTGCGCCACGATCGGCGTTTGTCGCCAGATCATCTTCGCCATGGACGTCACCATGTTCGGCCGACTCAGCTTCAACGACTTCAAGGATCTCATGTGCAGTCTGAAGCTCTGGCAGGGCGTGTTCAAGAACCACACGAAGGAGAAGACGGGCGTGCTCAAGGCTGAGCGGTGAGAGGCGACATCATGACCCGCCGCCGCTCGGTTGTCTTTGTTCGATAACACTGGATACCTGTCCATCATCAGGTTCTCATGACGTTGATGGTGCCCCGCAGATATCGTGCCAAATGTGTAGTCGAAATTACGACGTCAGCGATTTAGCCGCCAGTAACTTCTATGGCTGTAAAGATACACCGGGGCGAAAGGTGTGGAGAGAGCAGCGTACTTGTCCGCACTCGCCGACGTGCTCAGCTGAACGGTCACGAGTTATTTAATATCGCTGTGGGTTAGGTGTGGCTAAGCTGAGAGAGCAATCACCACACAACCGTCCAGCGTAGGGTTCAAACCTGACTCGAGGACAGAGTTTTATCACCCCCCCTCCCCCCCCCCCCCCAGAAATTGGTGCGAGAGCTTCCGATTCTAGATGGCATTAGACGTTGAATGCGTGGTTAAGCCCCACTAACCACAATTAATGCCGCTGCCATATTATGCATATTATATTATGCTCTTATAAAAGTGCGATGCCTGACTTCCAAATTATGCATCCTCCGAGCCAATTCTCCGTTGGCCCACCGGCCGCCTGCAGCATCTCGACCCCCAACGTCCCGAAGTGCCCCCCCCCCTCCCAGCATTGTCTCAACTGTGTCGCTTCCAGCGACTGCAGCGAGGTCGGCGACGTGACGTTAGCGCCGCCGCCGTAACGTCACTGGCACCGTCTCCAGGTTCCGGGACGCGCTGGCCGAAGTCGGCTTCCAGCTGAGCACGGACGTGATGACGGTGCTGACGCAGCGGTACCGGCGCAAGGACGGCACCCTGCGCTTCGGCGACTTCGTGGGCGCCGTCCTCCAGCTGTGCGTGGCGTTCGAGGTGTTCGACAAGAAGGACCCGCAGCAGAGCGGCATCGTCAAGCTGAACATCTCCGAGGTGAGGGCCCTGCGCCGCGCGGGGAGCGGCGGAGCGGGGCTTGCGGGAGGTCAGAGCGGTGTGGACGAGTCCGGTTATTTGCTGGGCTGTGACTTGTCACCGGCCCCGCGTGAGCTGCTAAAGTGCACGGCTACATAAAGCAGTGCCTGCCGTAAAACATGCAAGCGGATGATGATGGTTGGATGCCGAAGCAAACGCCGACACATTGCTTCAGAATCTGTTTACTACATTAAGGCCTCGTCGAGGCGTACAGGAGCCTCCCACGTTCAGTGTCCATGCTTGTATTATACTCCCTAGTAACCAATGCTTCCGAGAATGTGCCGGCTCCCGCTAATTAACTGTCCATTCCTTTCCAGTGGTTGAAAGGTGCTCTTTCCTGCTGAACGTGCCGGCGGTTCCCGAAGGAAACGCGACCTGCTGAAGCCGTGTACATAGTTCACCTGTGTAGGATAGAACTGCGACATCCCTGTACTGACATTATTTTAATAAAAAGAGAGCATGAAACCAGTTTTTTCTGACCATCCTCGTCACGCCAGTGCTGTGCTGCATGCCATTAGTAAATTGCGAAGATCAATTAATGCGACCCGCGCCTGATTTTGCGAAAAACTTATTAGCTTAGGACAAAAGGTTGTGATGAAATGTAAGCCTACATAGTTTCATTTCGTGGCTGATTTATATTGAGAAGGGTTTTCGATGTCGCGCGAGTAGTTTCTGCACTGCGCGCTGTACCGGCTCAGCTAGCGACAGCTGACTGAATGCTTTTCATCAGCGTATCTCTTTCACCTAGAACAATCGTTCGCTCTCTTCACTCTCACCGTTGTGTTGCGCCGGCAGCCGCCAGCGCTAAACAGCGGATGGCACAAATCTTAAGGAGGGATAGAAGGTCAGACATGTGTAGAACGGCAACGCGCTATATCAAAGGGCAGCAACATCTTTTTAAATAAAACAACACTTAGCAAACGGTGAATTTATTCCCGTCCTCCCACGTAATACTTGCAACTCATCACGCGAGGTCGGTCTCGTCATCCGGACAAGGGTTCTGCATACTACCGGCCGCCCCTTGTCCCAGCGGCTCGGTCCGCCACCGAGTTCACCACACCGTGAACAAAACCCGACACCGTCGGACCGCGCGCCGTCTGCCCCGGCCGGTGCGGTCTGCGCATGCGTCGACCAGCGCCACTCGAACGCCGGGCCGCGCCCCGGACCTTGGCAGGCTGTGGCAGTGGGCGCGATACGCGACACATCCACACGTGGTCTGCAAACCGCCCTCGGGCGACCCCCGAGCGCACGCCTACTGGAACCCACGCCATCACAGCTACGGTGAGTAATTGCACTTGCGGACGCGCCGCGGCCGCCCGGGTCGCGCGCGCACCCGACTGACTAGAGCCTCCTGGCGGCCACCTCCCGAGCCGCGGCCCCGGGGGACCAGCGTCGCCGCCGCACATGACGACCAGCGCCAATCTAGGAATACAGCCCGTCGGCAGCGACCGTGTCGCGGGACGAGCCGCCTCACGAAACCCCAGCACCCTGCCCCCGTCCGCGGCGCCGCACGTTACCGCGGCGGCTCTGTCGTAATGGCGCGCGGCGCCGGGCACAGAGCTGTCCCTCAGCGTCAGTGCGAGGTCGCGAGAGGCGCCGCCTCCCATCTCCCTCCCTACCGGTCACATAGGCTCACACATCGGCCCACGGCCGCCGCACCGTCGCGTCGCGCGCCTCAGCGCCGCCGCTCGGTGCCCGCTCGTCCGCTCGCTCGCATTCGCGCCGTCGCGTCGGCGGGCGTGATCACGGATAATTTTGACGCCCCGGGGCCGCGGCGCGCCGCGCGACGAGCGGCCGCCCGCGTCCGGCCGGCGGCGTCGCCGTCTTTGTACTGGCGTCTACGGGCGCCGGCGGCCGGCCCTACCCGTACTCCTGCAGCACCGTCTTCAGCACCGAGATCAGGCTCTCGACGCCGAAGATGAAGCCCTGGTCGGGCCCGCTGTGCTGCACCGGATCATCGAAGTCTTTGTGCGTGGCGTGCGCGAAGTCGATCATCCTCACGTCGACGTCGACGCGCGCCGAGCTCTCGGGCACGTCGTGCCGCGGCTCCTGGCCGTCGTAGATGACCAGCAGCGACGAGGTGAAGAAGCGGAACGAATGCTGCCGTTGCAACACGTCACGGAGCTCGGACAGCCGCGCGATCATCGCCCCCAGCAGGTCGGTGCGCAGCACTGAGCCGTTGTCGATGAACTGGCAGAGCGCCTGCTTGAAGCCGTCCACGGCCAGTTTTCCGGCCGTAGTACTTGTTGCGGCAGATGAAGCGGGAGAGGTTTACTTGGTACACCTGCCGGAGGGGGGCGGAGGGGAGGTGAGTCGGGGTGGGGAACAGTACGGTCGTTCTTCTCGTAACATGATAAGGCACATCGTAAGCGTCAACAACCTCAGCAGAGATGTTGCAGTAACTTGCCAACAAACTTGATGCAAACCAACCGAAAATTCCAACCAACCAGTCGCGAATTTCGCCATAAGAGAGCAACGACTGCTCGTTCACAGCGCACGGGACAATGCCGAGCAATAGCCGCGCATGATAATCACAGACGTAATAGTCATCACCTGCATGCCGTTAATGCGGACGCCGAGGCTGGACGAGGTGGTCGTCGCCACCTTGACCTTCTTGCGCTGCTGCTTCGCCGCCGAGTCGTCGTCGGCGTACTGGCGCGTGCCCATCTTGAGGTCCAGTACGCAGGGGTACTGGTACTTGTGGGTCAGGTTCTCCAGCAGGATGTACTCTGGCGGCGTGGCCGTCGTCAGGCGCGATCGCACCGCGCTGATGTGTCGGTAGGGTGGTAGCACGGGTGATACATTATTGAGAACCAAACGTCGTGTGGCGTCGTGGCATGGTGGCGCGGAGGACGTGCACCACAAACAAACTGCGTTTGTGGCTTTGTGACTGTGACTGGGGATACAGCGAGTGAAATAATCGCAGCAGTGCCAACCGCCCTCCTGTGTGAGCACCAGGTAAAGAGAGATCTGGTATTGGATCAGCAATCGCCCCGCCATCATCCCAAATCAATACCCGCCACGCGCGCCCGAAGTGAGGTCTTTGAGCTCTTAAGGCCTTTGAGCTCTTAAAAGATGCAACTTCCCACGCAATGATCCGTTTGCGCACTACCGCAAATGCAACGGAAGATCTACACAAGCCCACCATCACAGTTCTGCACAAAAGGTTTACAGATTACCGAAGCCCCAATCCAGCTGCAGCCCACAACGGCCGCCGCTCACAGCGCCCTCCCGGACAGCACGGGTCGGCCAGGCGGCGGCACCTACTCTGCGAGGGTGGACGGCTGCAGCCGGCGTCCGGCTGGCCGGCCGACGAGAGCGCGTCGGCCGCCAGCCGCGTTAGGTCGCTGCGGCCGCAGCGCAGCAGCCAGGGGTTGTGTGGCACGCGCCCGGCGGCACCCGGCTCGTCCTGACGCTGGTCGGCCTCCTCGAACACCTGGCTCTGCTTGTGCTCGCCCTCGATCTCCAGGCTGCCAGACGGCCGCATCCGGATCCTGCGGAAGGAGGCCAAAGGTAAGGAGACGGGTGCGCAGGACCATCCGGATCCTGCGGCGACGGGCCAAAGGTAAGGAGACGGGTGTGCAGGACCATCCGGATCCTACGGCGACTAGCCAGAGGTACGGAGACGAGTGTGCAGGACCATCCGGAGCCTGCGGCGGCAGGCCTGAGGTAGGGAGGTAAGGAGACGGGTGTGCAGGACCATCCCGATCCTGCGGCGGCAGGCCAGAGGAAAGGAGGTAAGGAGACGGGTGTGCAGGACCATCCGGATCTTACGGCAACAGACCAGAAGTAAGGAGACGGGTGTACAGGACCACCCGGATCCTGCGGCGACAGGCCAGAGGTAAGGAGACAGGAGTGCAGGACCATCCGAATCCTGCGGCGGCAGGCCAGAGGTAGGGAGGTAAGGAGACAGAGTGCAGGACCATCCCGATCCTGTGGCGGCAGGCCAGAGGTAAGGGGGGTAAGGAGACGGGTGTGCAGTACCATCCCGATCCTGCGGCAACAGGCCAGAGGTAAGGAGGTAAGGAGACGGGTGTGCAATACCATCCCGATCCTGCGGCAACAGGCCAGAGGTAAGGAGGTAAGGAGACGGGTGTGCAGTACCATCCCGATCCTGCGGCAACAGGCCAGAGGTAAGGAGGTAAGGAGACGGGTGTGCAGGACCATCCGGAGCCTGCGGCGGCAGGCCTGAGGTAAGGGGGTAAGGAGACGGGTGTGCAGGACCATCCAGATCCTGCGGCAGCACACTAAAGGTAAGGAGACGGGTGTGCAGGACCATCCCGATCCTGTGGCGGCAGGTCAGAGGTAAGGAGGTAAGGAGACGAGTGTGCAGGACCACCCGGATCCTGCGGCGGCAGGCCAGAGGTAAGGAGGGTAAGGAGACGGGTGTGCAGTACCATCCCGATCCTGTGGCGGCAGGCCAGAGGTAAGGAGGTAAGGAGACGGGTGTGCAGGACCATCCGGATCCTACGGCAACAGGCCAGAGGTAAGGAGGTAAGGAGACGGGTGTGCAGGACCATCCCGATCCTGCGGCGGCAGGCCAGAGGTAAGGAAGTAAGGAGACGGGTGTGCAGGACCATTCGGATCCTACGGCAACAGGCCAGAGGTAAGGAGGTAAGGAGACGGGTATGCAGGACCATTCGGATCCTACGGCAACAGGCCAGAGGTAAGGAGACAGAGTGCAGGACCATCCGGATCTTGCGGCGGCAGGCCAGAGGTAGGGAGGTAAGGAGACAGAGCGAAGGACCATCCCGATCCTGTGGCGGCAGGCCAGAGGTAAGGGGGTAAGGAGACGGGTGTGCAGTACCATCCCGATCCTGCGGCAACAGGCCAGAGGAAAGGAGGTAAGGAGACGGGTGTGCAGGACCATCCGGATCCTGCGGCGGCAGGCCAGAGGTAAGGAAGTAAGGAGACGGGTGTGCAGGACCATTCGGATCCTGCGGCAACAGGCCAGAGGTAAGGAAGTAAGGAGACGGGTGTGCAGGACCATCCGGATCCTACGGCAACAGGCCAGAGGTAAGGAGGTAAGGAGACGGGTGTGCAGGACCATCCCGATCCTGCGGCGGCAGGCCAGAGGAAAGGAGGTAAGGAGACGGGTGTGCAGGACCATTCGGATCCTACGGCAACAGGCCAGAGGTAAGGAGGTAAGGAGACGGGTGTGCAGGACCATTCGGATCCTACGGCAACAGGCCAGAGGTAGGGAGACAGAGTGCAGGACCATCCGGGTCCTGCGGCGGCAGGCCAGAGGTAAGGAAGTAAGGAGACGGGTGTGCAGGACCATTCGGATCCTGCGGCAACAGACCAGAAGTAAGGAGACGGGTGTGCAGGACCATTCGGATCCTACGGCAGCAGGCCAGAGGCAAGGAGACAGAGTAAAGGACCATCCGGATCCTGCGGCCGCAGGCCAGAGGTAAGGAAGTAAGGAGACGGGTGTGCAGGACCATTCGGATCCTACGGCAACAGGCCAGAGGTAAGGAGGTAAGGAGACGGGTGTGCAGGACCATTCGGATCCTGCGGCAACAGACCAGAAGTAAGGAGACGGGTGTGCAGGACCATTCGGATCCTACGGCAGCAGGCCAGAGGCAAGGAGACAGAGTGAAGGACCATCCGGATCCTGCGGCCGCAGGCCAGAGGTAAGGAAGTAAGGAGACGGGTGTGCAGGACCATTCGGATCCTACGGCAACAGGCCAGAGGTAAGGAGGTAAGGAGACGGGTGTGCAGGACCATCCGGATCCTGCGGCGGCAGACCAGAAGTAAGGAAGTAAGGAGACAGGTGTGCAAGACCATCCGGATCCTGCGGCGGCAGGCCAGAGGTAAGGAGGTAAGGAGACGGGTGTGCAGGACCATCCCGATCCTGCCGCGGCAGGCCAGAGGTAAGGAAGTAAGGAGACGGGTGTGCAGGACCATCCGGATCCTGCGGCGGCAGGCCAGATGTAAGGAGGTAAGGAGACGGGTGTGCAGGACCATCCGGATCCTGCGGCGGCAGGCCAGAGGTAAGGAGGTAAGAAGACGGGTGTGCAGGACCATCCGGATCCTACGGTGGCAGGCCAGAGGTAAGGAGGTAAGGAGACGGGTGTGCAGGACCATCCCGATCCTACGGCGACAGGCCAGAGGTAAGGAGACAGAGTGCAGGACCATCCAGGTCCTACGGCGGCAGGCCAGAGGTAAGGAGGTAAGGAGACGGGTGTGCAGGACCATCCGGATCCTACGGCGGCAGGCCAGAAGTAAGGAGGTACGGAGACGGGTGTGCAGGACCATCCCGACCCTACGGCGGCAGGCCAGAGGTAAGGAGGTAAGGAGACGGGTGTACAGGACCATCCCGATCCTGCGGCGACAGGCCAGAGGTAAGGAGGTAAGGAGACAGGTGTGCAGGACCATCCGGATCCTGCGGCGACAGGCCAGAGGTAAGGAGACGGGTGTGCAGGACCATTCGGATCCTACGGCAACAGGCCAGAGGTAAGGAGGTAAGGAGACAGGTGTGCAGGACCATCCGGATCCTGCGGCGGCAGACCAGAAGTAAGGAAGTAAGGAGACAGGTGTGCAGGACCATCCGGATCCTGCGGCGGCAGGCCAGAGGTAAGGAGACAGAGTGCAGGACCATTCGGATCCTACGGCAACAGGCCAAAGGTAAGGAGGTAAGGAGACGGGTGTGCAGGACCATCCCGATCCTGCGGCGACAGGCCAGAGGTAAGGAGACAGGTGTGCAGGACCATCCCGATCCTGCGGCGACAGGCCAGAGGTAAGGAGACGGGTGTGCAGGACCATCCCGATCCTGCGGCGACAGGCCAGAGGTAAGGAGGTAAGGAGACAGGTGTGCAGGACCATCCGGATCCTGCGGCGACAGGCCAGAGGTAAGGAGACAGGTGTGCAGGACCATTCGGATCCTACGGCAACAGGCCAGAGGTAAGGAGACAGAGTGCAGGACCATTCGGATCCTACGGCAACAGGCCAGAGGTAAGGAGACAGAGTGCAGGACCATTCGGATCCTACGGCAACAGGCCAGAGGTAAGGAGACAGAGTGCAGGACCATTCGGATCCTACGGCAACAGGCCAGAGGGTAAGGAGACACGTGCGTGAGACACATCCGGAATCGGCGGCGGCGGGGGAGGCGGAGACGTCAGACAGGTCCGTGTGCACGGACCGATCAGTGCGTACAGGTTCACGGTTCACATCCGGCCCCGCCGCGACCGTGAGGTGGAGACGGGCCCGAGCCGTGCACAGGGGTGCGCTGCATGCGGCTGGATCGCGGCGTGCACCGAATCCGGGGGCAGGCGGGCCTAAGGGGACCGCCCCCGTAGCAGTCGGCACAAGGACGCGACAAGTCTTACATACATTAACAGAGGCGTATACAAGGGCGCGATACCGGCCCCACGACCCTCCCTCAGCAAATTCGGGGTCCCATGGAATAGGAAAAGCCAAAATATACAGCTCAAAAGCGCGCCTAGATGCTCTAAGGGTTCCATCTGCCTAGCGCGACCTTCTCCTGCAGATTCGGTGAGTAGCCGGAGTTGACCACTGGCAATGTCGACATTCCAGCAATATGGCGGTGAGGAGGACCGACGTAAGCGCGGCGATACCGTAGAAGGCCTCGCGAGGGCCCAAGTGCCGCCTTTCTAGTGGTCCCACTGCCCACTGCGGAAAACAACGACGTAAAGTAAGGAGATCCAAGCAAAAACAAAAAAAGAAAGAACTGATGGCTAGTAGTTGCCCAGCTGTTCGAGTGACGCCTTCTGAGAAAAATACGGCCGGACCAGGGGGGAGGGGGTCGAAGTAACGGTCCACTTCTCACAAAAATCCTGCGAGCATCTCGTTGTGCAGATGGCGGCAATGCACATACATGCGAGTATCCACGCACGCACGCACGCACGCACGCACGCACGCACGCACGCACGCACGCACGCACGCACGCACGCACGCACGCACGCACGCACGCACGCACGCACGCACGCACGCACGCACGCACGCACGCACACACACACACACACACACACACACACACACACACACATCATATCGTGTAAATGAAAAGCCGTATACGTACGAGTAAACGTAAGTGTTCAAATGCACACAAATACGGAAGCGTCGCAAAACTGAAAAAAAAACACTATAAAAAACCAAACCTCTAGGTTGCAACCATACACAGTGGGCATGTACAGGAAGCCCGTCGCCAAGACATACAACCAGCAGGCTGGGACCGGCTGTTACAATCTTTGCAGACGTCACACGGGAAGGGCCTTTGCACGCGTGAGGTTTGCAGCAAGACGGCTAAATATGCCGCTTTATCAAAAACAAAATGTCGTCCAACTATACGCGTGCTTCGCAGGAGCAGACCAAACCAGACACAGCAAACATCGATGCATTAGGTCCACACAGTTAAAAAACGTCGTCTGCGCTTACCTTCGTTTTGTTCGCGACTCGTTGCGCTGGGCGGGGAACTTTCGTTCGTAGCTCTTCGGTGGATACGCCATTAGCGTGACGTAACCGTCGGCATCCTCCACGAAATTAACCTGCACAACAAGAACGGCGGTGGAGCGGCGCTGGGACGGAGGCTCGCCGGCTCCAGCGACTCTAGCGACGCCTTCACTTCATTTGGCCAAATGAATGACGCTCCAAATGCATCACAGACAGAAATGCAAGAAACAGTTCACTGGTGTTCACGGACACGAGCTTAGCCTAGAAACCTGCTTCTGAGCAACTTCTTAGTCCTACGACCGCATCTTATGATCTTGTGTAAGATTGCGACGGTTCGTCACCATCACAACTGAGGAAAGTATGCTTTTTGATGAGCGCCAGGCCGGCCAGCATCAGTCGCCATCAGGAGAGAAGCAAATAAAGAGAAAAAATATGTTCACGCAGACGACGGTCAATGACCATGACCGACAAATTGGCAGTAAATCATCGTTCTGGATAGATAGATCAACAAGATAGGAGACGCGACGGGCCTCTGTTTGGTGAGCTTGGAAAAGCTAGTCTCGTTCATTCCAACAACCGTCATCACTATGCATCCTTATCACGCCGCATCCTGTTTCTTTTTCAACGATCAAAATGCATCTTTACTTTGGCGCAAAAGGAACGGCCGTTATTGTTTTATGGGGCTCAACGATGAGTCACAAACTGGGTTCCCAGATTCAGTCAGTATGGTGGCAAGGATGCAAAATGAAATTTATGCTGTCCGACGCAATCCTACCGCAGCTCCGAATGGACAGCTCAGGTTATTTGCCACCACTCAGCTAGGCTCCGGACTAATGGCGCATGCTGACAGTGACCTGCCTGACCGATTGGTATTACCTTGGGCGACCAGACACACACTTGATGGCAGCCTTCGCCCAGTGCCCATGGGTGATCCCGGGAGAGGAAAGGAATAATACGGCTTTCGCCAACAGCTGACTCCAGTAGCATGAATTAAGATTTACATTCTTGCCAATTAGCTGGATGAATTCGGAAACACTGGCCACCATGATCTCTTTGACTTATTGGCTAGTGCGCCCGTCTCGTGTCAAAAGAGGGTTACTGACGGCACGGATCATGGACACATCACCACATGTGCTGAACGCCACCAAATTATTTTGTGTTCATCCGACAATGAGAAGTATCATTTACCACGGGCGACCGTGACACGACCTCGAGAGCACGTTCCAGATCCCGCCGTGCCACCTGAGCCTCAGCGTCTGCGACAAAACAGCTCCATTTTGGGGATACACTTTGTGGGAGGGAACGATGTCAGCGCAGCTCCCTCCATGCATCCGGAACGACCGGATAAGAGGTGCAGCAATTGCAGCTGAATAAATCGCAACAGATGGTACTAAGGACATGGCTTGATCAGCCGATGCCTTTAACGAACGTCGCATTGCTATGCCATAACACGACCTACCCATAGCCCTATGCCATTATCCACGTGCCGAAGCGGCATCTACCAAGAGAATCTGACTAAAGCACACCATCGCGAACAGACAACAGATCACACATTACCAGAGGCAGGCCGTTAGCTTCTCACTCTAAGCGCAACCACAACGGTGCACGCAGTCGGCGCGGGCGGCCGGCGCCGGCCGTGCCGAGTCGGCCGGCCGTGCGCGGACCTACCTCGATGACGCCCTTGTACTCGGGCGCGAACTGCTTCATCTGCTCGGGCATGCTCTCGTAGAAGTGGAGCTCGCGCGTGATCAGCGGCTTGCAGACGGTGATCTCGTCCAGCGAGAACATGTGGCTGTGGCCGCCCACCTGGTGGATGAACGGCTCCAGCTGCGGACAGCAGCCGGGCGGTCAGCAACCGCTCACGGCGGGCGGGACAGGAGAGGCGCGGACCGGGGTAAATACTGGCTCAAAGCGGGCGGGACGGGACGGGGACGGACGGGGATTATTGCACACCCAGACCCTCCTGGTGCTGCATTGCAAACATTGTGCATTGAAAGTATGCCGTGAACACTTGACTTCCAAAGATCAAAAGTCTAGTACCATGTGATCGAATACTCTTACGACCTGGTCTGCCCAATTGGGACAAGTCGAGATTTCATTGCGATGCATTCGGTACCACGCTTCCTCGAGGTTATTTCTCATGAGTGTGTGTGGGGGGGGGGGGGGCACCCGCAAGGTTCCACCACGCAGTGCCGGGGGTCGCAATATGCTTCATATGACACCCTTTCAGCCCTGCTATCTCTCTCGTTGCAATATAACATGTACAGTCTCACTAAGAGAGACGAGCGTACTCACGTGGATGGGTTCCGATGTCTTATCCTCCGCCATCACCGGTGAGGTACATGGAGGATTTTGTCTGAAAACCAATGAAATACATGCTTTAAGGTGTGTGAGGTATTCTACCTGGGAACTTATCAAACATGTGCCAGCTGATCAGAAAGGTGGACATAGCAAAGTGTGTTGTAAAGAGGCCTGGAGGATGCCACAGGATATCAAGTTGGTAACAAAAAAAAAAAAAAAAAAAAAATGGTGAGGCCACAGGCCAAGGGGCATCGATTGAGTACGAATGGCATTTTCAATTTGAGCAACCTAACCCAGCCCATCTGTCAAGCTTTCTAGCAGCTTAAATCTTTCCAATCACTAAACACAGTGTGATGCAGTTTTTGGCTAAAATGCAGGCAATTTCAAAATTTGCACTGTACATTTAATGCCCAAGGTCACAAAAGAGCTTGTTCCAGCATCAACCAACCAGACATTTCTTTATTTCAATGGTCCCCTACAGATCGACCTGTCAGACCACTTCAGATTTACCAGTCTTGGGATGACTTCAACCATTGGCATCAGGCTACACACAACAAAAATGTGAAAACAGCTGTGCTTGTAGGTGAAAAGGGCATCTACAAAACACAAGGCAACTCCAACAATGTCTGACCAACCACGATGTCAGCAATCCTCCAGGAAATAACAATTACATTTCTAAATACTGATGGGTTTGTACACAACACATTGGTCACAAACACAGAAAATGTAAACTTTTTCAAGTTGATAATTTCTATCTGCTAAAATAAATGGGACTCAAAACAGCCAAAAGTCAGACAATTCTGAAACATTGCCATTTGCAAATTGCTATGCAAATAGTTCATGTCACTGAATCTACCAAATAAATTCATGGAAGATCAGCATTCCATTTCAATGATGGGATCTATTGGTTTGAGTTTTATAAGGTGACTTGAGCTCCATACCATATGTTCAGTTATATATGGTGCTATCACTCATATCATACCACTCATATTCCTTACTGGCTCACTCATTCAACAACACATACATAACTTTACTGGTTATGTAGCTACTTTTTCAAAGATGGTGCAAATGAGGTCACTCATAAATTACATTACACATGGAGATACTTTTGTGGATCATACCAGAATGGTAACAAGGGAGGGAAAGGCAGTTTTGGAAATCACAAAGCTATGCTCAAGTCTGGTTGTAAATCATGCTATAATATTTATGAACAAGTCAAGCCTGGATGCCGATGCCTTGTTCTGATGACAAGAAACACACTCATAATTTGTTTCACACATGTTGCTTAACTCAGGGCAAAATGGGTATAACTTTAAAGGGGCCAGGGAGAGAGTGTTTCACCCTATGTAACCAAGGGGTGAAAAATGACTTGAATTTAGTACAAAATGCAAAATAAAATTTTTCGATGTCAAAAATTTAATTTCTTTGATTAAGAGCCATATCCTCTAAGTTTTCTTGGAGAGGCTTGGTTCAGTACACCAAATCTTTAATCTAATCAAAATTTATGCACAAGCAGTGAAAACCTTCATTAATTGCATGCTTCACTACAGGCACACTATGTCATCACAGGTCCAGGAGACCTTGAGCTGAAATTAACATGATATAAGTGAGAGGAGCTTATCTTATCCATACAAAAACCATGAGAATGTCCAAAACTTGTCTTGATACATGATAGCATGAAAACAACTAGTGGGTGAGGAAAACAAATTCATAATGTTAGAAAGAGCCAAAGCTTTATGAACCACATGTGGCAGGCACAAATATTACAAAAATGTGTTCAGCAAGACAAAATTGATGACCAAATATTGGGAATGCTTGGGAAACACACAAACAATAAGAATAACAAAAGACAGCATGAAAACCATGTGAAGGAACTATAGCTATCTGCATCCCAGTTGATTTTTTAAAAAATTATTTAATGTCCATGCCTCTGGGTCAGCATGATTTATTAACTACATAACATTAAGATATGTTTGGTAGAAAAAACCAAATGTTCAGCTCATCAACTTTGACAAAAATTTATGTAGGTAAAGGTAATTTATATTTTGCCATTGATGAACATTTAAAAGGTTCTGCCTTATCAATTTTGTTGCCTTTTTCATTAATCAGATACAGCCATGCATATATGCATGAATAAATAATACTCATTTTGTATATATTTTGACCATCAAATAACCCCTATTAAGATATGTGAGTAAAATTCATAGCAAACTTTCATTTTAATGTGACATCTTTATCTTAGGCAATTCTTCCTTTCCATCATTAAAATGCAAAAAATTGACCTAAACATGGGCCCCATAGAAAGCCAGCAACAAATGACAGCACCATAATTATGACAGACCTTCATCCACAATAGCACCTGAAGAAAAATAGCAGAGGTGGTAACATCTCAGGTATTCAGAGCTTTTTGAGGCTCACCAACCATTCCCAGGAAACATCATTCCTTGATTATTGTAGGAACATAGAACAAAAACTTTTTGGTAAGCCCAATCTCTTGATGACTTATGCCCCAAAAATCTGCATCAGCATGTCTTTTTAGGGACGCCTGACACGCTTTGCCAACACAAAACCTTATTACGGGTATCAACATGATCATAACAAATACCCACCAAAACAACGAATTGGTTGAGAATCAACGCATCGTCCTGTATAGTTGTTTGCCAGTTGACAAATGCGCACAAGCTGTTGATGCGTTTGCAGCGGAGGTTGGGCCACGATTTGCGAGATCTGCTGTGGTCTTTCAAGTTACAACTGAGAAAATCTTAGTGCACCCCCTGAACGCAATGCGAGCCCCTCAAATATCGAATGACCACTTTGTAAGATCTTTTCGGTTGTGGGTAGTTGTATTGCGACACATCAAGTAGTTTTGTAACCTAAGGTCGGTAAAAGCAGTTTTTGTCTTAAAATAAATATCTAGGATAAATAAATGAATCGGAATAAGTTTTCGTTATCAATAGAAGCTAATTTATAAGACATTTTCTTCTTTTGACGAAAAAATATATAACTAAAATCTGAGGACAGAAGGATCGACTACTTACAGATGATCAGCTGATCGATAGCGACCACGCAAAAAATCAGCTGATCACGAAGCTGTTGCGTGTGCGAAACAGGACCTTTCGAGACAATTTATTGCGCGAAGAGGTACCGCGTGCGAGGGCGGTGTGGCCCGCGCCCTGCTGGCCCCGCTCTCGCGTTCCGGCGGGTCCTCTCGTCGATTGTCCCTGTAGTAACGATGGGCTGTCGTGGCGGGTGAGGAATGTGGTAGTGTTTGAAGGAGAAGGCTGACCGCAGCATTTGCGACACTTCGCCGGGTGATACGGCTTTGTGGGGATCGGGTTTAGTGTGCGTGACTGGCGGAGGAATTTCAAAGATTTGAGCCTTGGCGGTGCCGACTGAAGCTGCTATGAGGATGGTGTTATTTTGTACGGGGTTCTTATAAACTTTGCGAAGAAGACAGCTTTTCCATAATGAAGGACAAACCTAATTCAATCAGAACTTATGATGCTGAAGGCTATCGTCTGCGTGCTGCTGGTGTATGTGTGAAGGATGAGGAAGAGAAGGAGGTAAGTTTGGTACCATGGATGCAATAGGTAGCTGTGTCATGGATAACTTTGCTGCAACATAACAATCAGAACACAACATGCACATGGTGTAAAATAACACAAGCATTTAATAGTGGTTTTTGTCATTTTTCAAGGTGACATTTGGTAGATAACTGTTTACTATGTCATGTTGTGACACTTTCGCCATCAAATTTTGCTGTTGGCCAGACTTTCTTTTGGTAGAAGGGGCTCAGGTCTGATACTAAAAGTGTGTTTTGTGTCAGCTGTGATCTTGTAAATCCATCCATTTAAAATATTTGAACAAAACCTTGGAAACTGTTATATTATCAGCCAAACTCATTAAGAAGCTAGTGACTAGGAGTTATTTGGTTGAACTGGGGGGAGGAAATTGTTTAGTTAAAGTATTCTCTGTCTGGAGTAAGGTTGAAGTTTGCTTTGCATTTCAAACAGCAAGAACAAAATGTAAATTTTGAACTGGACAACTGATTCTGGAGACAAATTTCTGCCAAAAATTGGGACCCAACCCCATTTTCCACATCTCCCAAGCTGCAAGCATCCTTGGTAGGAACAAAGGAATGTACTAAAAATGACCTGTCATGGCCTCTTTGAAATTGCTTTTCTTTTTATGCATCATTTATCACCTCAAGGGTAACATGAAATGTTCCTAGAAAATAGGCATACCATGGCTTTCCCCATCATATCTCCCCTCCCTCCATTCATGTGCCTTAGAGGTCAAGGTGGTGTTGCAGATGGAAATTTTAAATTTAAGTGAAATCAGTACATTTGTGGTCAGATGAATTTTGTGCACCAAAAGCAGTTTGGTGCAAACTATGTAGAACTTTGTTATAGTTTTCTTTATTCAAAAGCTGTAGCTTTTGGAAAATGTTTTTTGTGGCACTGTAATAGTTTTACCATGCTCTTGGATATAATACAAGCATGGTGACACACAAATGTTACCTGATGCTCCTTTCATTATGGCAACATTTTGGTTCATATTGTTACAGGTGGAGGCAGTGCACACTGTTGTTGGTTTTATGCTTGTGTTGAATTTGTTGGGGCTGAAAAACTGTCATTCATAACTATAATTTTCTCTTCATTCTTATTCACTCACCTTATGAACCCTTTGTTCACTGTACCCATACCTCTGTCCCACGGCTAACATCGTGCTTTATAAGTTGAAAGTGCCACAAGAATTGTTCCTAAAATGACTTCACCTTGCTGCCAGGTGCTGAGGATGTGTTAAGAATTGGTTGTGCTTTCAGATGTACAGTTGCTCATGCTTGGTATTTCTCAACACTGATTAGCATCCCATGATTCCTTTTATATGATAGGATCTCAAGATGCACCTGATACTTCATCAACATTGAACAAATACAATTCAAGTGTGCCACAGGGCACACTGGGACTTTGGACCCATTGTCTGAACCCTTAACCAAACACCAAGCACTTTCTTACAGAAACTTCATACCATGCCTTGACCCATCTTGGTGCAGCCTGGCCCTTCAATTACAAGGTGTTCCCTCGCATTTGCTGTCGGTGCTGGATGCTATGTCAAATAGGTATACAAATTGAAGCATTGTGTTGCAAGCCTGTTGTGTACCGTGTGCCTTATGCATGCTTCTGTCGGCGAATGCGAAGTGCTTTCTGGCAGACTTATGGGTGACAAGAGTGCAGAAGTCACAATCAGAACCACATTTACCCTCAAGGTGACAGGTACGCCTACTGCGCGCACTGACTGTTGCAGGTGCTACTCGTGTCATCGTCAAAGGAGCCCAACAAGTGGGTTGTGCCGGGCGGCGGTGTGGAGCCGGACGAGCAGCCGGACCGGGCCGCCGTCAGGGAGGTCCGCGAGGAGGCTGGGGTCGAGGGTCACCTGGGCCGGTGCCTGGGTGTGTTCGAGGTGAGCGTGAGTATTCCGGTTCCTACTCCGCCTCTCGATGAGACGCGAGGTGGTGAAGATGGCTGGGGCTTCGTCGCTGGGTAGCGCTGCAGAGGCTTAGCCGTCCACAAGGGATGCCTGCACGAATGTTCGGGGTTGAATAAGGACAACAGGACAGGAGTGTTCGGTGTCTGTAATGTCCATGCAATGACTTTTTTGGAGAGGCGTTAATGTAGGAATGAACTTGCGAAGATTGGTGAATTCTTTAGATGTACTGGATTGTGCGAGTGGTAGTACTGATGTCTTTATATCAATCTATAGACAAACACAAGAAACGTTTATGAATGCGTGGGTTACATCAATACGTCGATGACATTAACGGAGATGAGCATGATGTGCTATTACCGGTAAGTAGATGGGTTCGTTTCAACTGAAGTATGCCACTGAGAATGCTCTAAGTGTTCGACTTCAAACGTAACAGTTGTAATATCACGTTTTTGCGAGCAGTTTACATCCAGATCCGAACGATCGGACCAAGTATCAGTTTGCTGGTGCAATGAAACACAGGAGAAGACAGTGAAAAACATCAGTGACGAAGCAACCAGTCAAACGCCAATCACGTGCCGGTTGGCTATTATGTTCTGGAGACCCGTCGTCATACTTGTGCTACCGTCATATGTTTCAAAGGCAGCCTCAAAGGGACCCCTCTCAGGCCTCGCGTGTTGCCTTTCGCGTCGGTCTCATCTCTGCGCGGTGTGTGACGCGTCCCTGGCGGTCGGCAGAACACGGAGAGGAAGCACCGCACGGCCGTGTACATCCTGGTGGTGACGTCCGAGCTTCCTGAGTGGGAGGACTCCGTGAACATCGGTGAGGCAGCCCACCGCCCGCGGTCCTCTTTCCTGGCGCGGGGGCACCGCACAAAAGTGGTGTTGCAGGTACACACGTTCGGGGATGGATCTTAACTAAAAGGCGGCGTCTGGGAGCGAGACTTGCGCACACAGAAATGAAGTCTCGGAGCGAGATGTGTGCACGTCCCAGCTAGGACTTCATGATGGGAGTATTACGCATGGCTATGCATTTTGCATAAACCTGCTGTGATAGCAAGTACCAGTTGATATTGATGCCAGTAGGCACGGATAAAGTACCAAAACACGGGCATCTGCATCAGCGACAGTTACTTGATTTTTAAATTTCGTCTTCACATCCGTTGTTTCACGCGCTCCGTCATAACTGGAGCACACAGTGACTGAAGTTCGATCGGTTCACAACGTGACAGACGGTGCGTTGGACGCGATAGAAAGGTGTGGCAATGAACAAATACGGAATGCACGAACGTTGCCGACAAACCAGTTTAGACACGAGACAGGCGGGGCCGACTTGACGTGACATGGTGTGCTCGTCACCCCTTGACAGTACGGTTAACGCCGGGTGAAGGTGGCCGCTCTCGTGGCATTGTGCTGACATTACAGCCCTCTAAGTGTTAAGGTCGAAACCGTTTTCTCCTGCCATATTATCAGTTGCCTTTCAGTGTTTTTGTTGACGTCATTTTTGCGGCGTTATTCACACATCACCACGAATGTACGCGCGGCGCGATAACCATGCCAACCAATCCCAGCACCAGGCGCAGGTCATGTGTTCAGAATATCACCGGTGAGCTCATGCAAGCCGCGGTGTTGTTTTTGCTGTAAAGCCTGGCGATGGGCCTCGTGCTGGCCTCAGCTCAGTGGACGCCTCTCCCTCGGACCCAGGAGCGTGCGATCAAAGCCGTCTGATGCAAAGCTTTTTTGGAGAGCTGAACAGGGCGGGCATGAACATGAACAATGGCCAGAGCACCGAGCAAGCACATGAACTAGAGCAGCTGTTGTGTTGAAAAGATATACCAGCTGTGGGATTTGTGGCAAATCTATCAGCCCCTAGTCCAGACATCTTTACGTCACATATCTAGTTCAGTTATTGTCAAATGCACTGGACATACCCGTGGAAATTCGGCGCGATCAGAGTAAACGGCCGCAGAACGGCAGCTGGAGAGCCTTTTAAAGTCCACGCTGCGTGCATGTGTTTGGTAGTATACATAGAGCGCGTCACAAGATGTTATAGTGTTTGAGTCATCGATCCATCGAATCATTGTGATTTAACGTTTTGCTTTCGACTTTTTCGCCTCGCGACCGTCATGTATTTTGTGTCTTTGCGTGGCATAAGGCAGAAGACTGAGCGCACGTTGTTTTTGATAACCTGTACAATTTTTTCGGGGTTTTAATGCTATTCTTGTATAAGCCGAACACCGCTAAATTGCATTACCCATCTTTCCTTCTGGTGGGACATTCCACCACAGCTTAACATGCAAAATGTCAAATTGATAGCATCGCAACTCATGTTGTGTTAAGATAAGTGAAAAACGCTCTCTGATGCCAGCTATTGATTCGTTAACTCAATCAGAGCGACTGCGACCGGGCTATATATAGGCTTCGGCCATTTTGGAAGATCGTATGCTAAGTGGACTATCTTTGGTCGCTTATGATGAAACCAGCTACATAGCGTGAGTGAATTATCGTTTGCAAAACACGAAGCGAGCTCAACGTCCAGCCCTTGGCAACGCTCGTAGTCCATCGAAATCCCAGGAATCGGCATCGCGTTTGTAAATCGGTCGCAAATACCACGTGCCGGTGCCGACAACAGGAACGATTACAGCATGTTCGCTAGGAGGTCAATGTGAACACATACAGTTATCGCACAGTAAAAAGAAAACAACAAAAAACAATATAATACATTCCAAATTTTTCGTTTTCGCACACTGCCTTGGCTGACCTTGCCACGACCAGAGCTAGCTAATTTCCCAGCGATAACATCTGTAATTAGCGACGCGAACACTGCACGTTATGGAATTCTCATCTGCCACAGTTTAGCAGAGCGCTATCCCAATGCATTGACAGGCTTATTCGTGTGGGTTCTCAAGGACGACCGGCTCCATTCGCGGTGTTGTGATTGTGCGCGGTCGATAAGACCCACATTCGCTAGCGCCTCGTTCGGTCTACGCCGCAAAAGGAATCTCGCTGGTACATATTTGTTGTACCTGTATGTAGTGCTTCACATGCCGTACATGCCTGAGAAATTCGATTTTGTTTGCTCACGGTTCGGTGTTAATTGTAAACTCTTTGCCACATTTCACTAATTCCGGTTGTCAAAAGCCTTGGTGAAACAGGTCATTTAGGCGGTAGCTTTGATACAGGTAGATATATGGGTGAATGTGCTGACTCTCTGCCCACATTGTAGTGTGATCATTCACCACGAGTTTGTGCTATTAACGACTCACATTGATTTCCATGTTTCATGAGCAGACACCATCTCACCATTCACGCCCACGCGGCCCTTTTCGCCGCTCTGCCCCGCTGTGGTGAGGGAATGACATTTCTCCCACAACTGGCAAACGGAAATGACACAAATCAGCGGCGACATCACAGTGATGGACTTTAGCGATGCCGCCCAGGCGGCTGCCTCGTCTGGTTAGCCGGGCGGGTGGCTGCTGCGACTGCCGGCTCCGCCCCTGAGTACGCCGTGTTAGCGGTCGGCACCGGTCATGTCGACCCGGATCACGGGCGTTACGACCGATCCCGCGTCACCCGCCCGGGACCCGCGCGCGGGGCAGCGTCGCCCGCAGAGGCGAGGGAGCCGCGGCGGGGGCCGGGGAGGCGGCCAAAAACGTTTTTTCTTTGATCCATTTCGGCATCTAGCGACGCCGCAAGGCTATCGCTAAACTTGTCTGAGTAGGGGGGGGGGGGTAGATGTCCCCCTCCCCAATAACCTGGCTATTTCCAACTCTGAGCGTCCTCGGAAGACAGGAGTGACGGCGTTACGTCGCACGTGTCACGCCGACCGAAAACGGAGCGTCGTTGAGAAGTGTACACTTGACGCGTTCCTTGCAATCCATAGGAGGGGACTGAACTGAGGGATGGCAAGACACTAGATCTATCGTCATGCCACTCGACACCAGTATGTTTCCTGTAGATCCTTTTGTCCCGGGTTTCGAACAGGGTCAAGCTATGAGGCACATCCAGGCAGGCATGTTGTTCAAGGCTGCGCCGGTATTTGACGATGAGAGTTTTCCGGCCTTGAGTTGCTATTCCTCCTTGGAAATGGTGTGTGGCGCAACTGGCATCTCCCACGCCTGAACTATACCTGCGCGGTGGGACGCATGGGCCCCACGTCCGGCGGCTCCTGACGAATCTCGGACCCTGCGCTCCTGACCCTACGGGCGCGACGCTGCCCCTTTGTCCCTGGACCTGTACCCCGGCCCTGTGATTGCTGACCCTGTGTCCCTGACCCTGCGCCCCTGACCCTGTGTACCCGACGCTATCTCTGCGCCCCTGACCCTTGTACCCTCCGGCCCTGTGATCGTGACCCTGACCCTGCGCCCCTGACCCTGTGCGTCCGACGCTATCTCTGCGTCCCTGACCCTGTTCCCTCCGGCCCCGTGATCGTGACCCTGTCCCTGAGCCCCTGACCCTGTGTGCCCGACGCCATCTCTGCACCCCTGACCCTGTACCCCCGGGCCTGTGATCGTGACCCTAACCCTGCGTCCCTGACCCTGTGCGTCCGACGCTATCTCTGCGTCCCTGACCCTGTACCCTCCGGCCCTGTGATCGTGACCCTGTCCCTGCGCCCCTGACCCTGTGCGTCGACGCTATTCTGCGTCCCTGACCCTGTACCCTCCGGCCCTGTGATCGTGACCCTGACCCTGCGCCCTGACCCTGTGCGCCGACGCTGTCTCTGCGTCCCGACCCTGTACCTCCGGCCCTGTGATCGCGGCCCCTGACCCTGCGCCCCGACCCTGTGCGTCCGACGTTATCTCTGCGGTCCCTGACCACTGTACCCTCCGGCCCTGTGATCGTGCATGTCCCTGCGCCCCTGAACCTGTGCGTCTGACGTTATCTCTGCGTCCCTGACCCTGTACCCTCCGGCCCTGTGATCGTGACCCTGACCCTGCGCCCCTGACCCTGTGCGTCCGACGCTATCTCTGCGTCCCTGACCCTGTACCCTCCGGCCCTGTGATCGTGACCCTGACCCTGCGCCCCTGACCCTGTGGCCCGACGCTATCTCTGCGCCCCTGGCCCTGTACCCCCCCCCCCCCGGCCCTGTGATCGTGACCCTGACCCTGCGCTCCCTGACCCTGTGCGTCCGACGCTATCTCTGCGTCCCTGACCCTGTACCCTCCGGCCCTGTGATCGTGACCCTGACCTGCGCCCCTGACCCTGTGCGTCCGACGCTATCTCTGCGTCCCTGACCCTGTACCCTCCGGCCCTGTGATCGTGACCCTGACCCTGCCCCTGACCCTGTGCGTCCGACGCTATCTCTGCGTCCCTGACCCTGTCCCTCCGGCCCTGTGATCGTGACCCTGACCCTGCGCCCTGACCCTGTGCGTCCGACGCTATCTCTGCGTCCCTGGCCCTGTACCCCCGGCCCTGTGATCGTGACCCTGTCCCTGCGCCCCTGACCCTGTGCGTCCGACGCTATCTCTGCGTCCCTGACCCTGTACCTCCGCCCTGTGATCGTGACCCTGTCCCTGAGCCCACAACCCCCGGGCCGCGAGCTGGTCTCAGTCTTGCGGCCGCGCCCCGCTGCCCCGGTGGCCCGGCCGCGGTGTCTGTCGCCGCCGCCGGCCGCCGGGGCGCCACACCGGCCGGGCACGGTCGGAATGGCGGCCGGGCGGTGCGCTTGGCCGGCCGTCGTGCGCCCGATGGCTGCCGGCGGCGTCAGGTGTCGGGTCGCGCCGGCCGCTGCCAGCGCCAGCCGGCCCGGCCCTCCCCCGGGGCCGGTTGTCGCCGGCCGGCCGGCGCCGGTTCGCCCCCCGCCGCCGCTGCCGGCCGACGATGGGCGCGACTCGCTCCACGGGAAGGCCGTGGAGCGCAGACGATGCACCAGCCAAGGCGCGCGGAGTAAGTGCACGTGCCACTTTGTTTCGAGCTGAGTTTTTGTGCGAGGGGAATAGAATATGCTATTATTGGGATACGTCACATCGCCAAGAGCTATGGACCAGACGAGAGTCGACTCGTTTATCTGGCTGCTACTCAGACGATACCGACTTCTGGCCGGGGAGCGGAGCTCTGAACACTGCTGGGAGAGGGGCAGTAGAGCGTGATGTCTGGCGTCATGTATCTTCAGCCCCGGATGCAGCGTGACCCAGGCTTGATTTTCCCGTGGCGAACGCCCGCCCCGGCCGTTCGCTGCCGCTCGGAGGGGCGGCCCTCACCCGTCAGCCCTCACTCAGCGCCGTTAATCAGTGACGTATGGGCCGCGGGCCGCCGCCACCGCGCTCCGCGTGCCGGGCGTGTCGGCCGCCCTGCCCGGGGCCGGCTCCGTCGGCGGCGTGCCGCGCGCCGCCGACGCTGGGCGCGTACTCTGACCGCAGCAGAGCCGCAGTTCAAGATGGGGCGAGAGTGCATTACGTTACGTTACGGAAAACGCTTCTGAAGGAAATGGTTGACGGTCGGTTCGAGACTACGGTAGAGTTCCAGTATAGAAGTGTGGAGTGTAGGTCGGGCGAGTATTTATGCTGACTGGAAAGTGTATCTGTGTCCTATGCAATTGTGCAGGTTGAGGGCAATTACCTACTCGTTGCTGATCACGTGTCAATGGCGGTTTGCGAAATTTTAACGCCTGCGCTGCGAAATTGGCGAATGAATGAAATGGTGGAAAGAAGGAAGACAATCCATCACGTAGGTCAAGGTTGAAGTGATGGATGTTGGCAGCTCACACCCCATGCGCTCAGATAAAGCACGTTACAACAGCGGTCGTGTAGGCGGTTCGTGTTATCACGGGCAAAGTGAATTTCCCCCGCGGAAGAGCTAACCTGGCCATCTGCTACATGACTGTCAGCAAATCCTATCACAATGTTCGTATTTTGGAGCCAAAGGTAACCATCTCGGTGACGCGGCCCGGCGCTTGAGTGGTTTACCGATGTGTCGGGCGCAGAGTAAAGAAGTAATGGTCCTCGAAATGCGTCAGCGTTGAGCGGTGACACAGTCATTAATCTCAGCGCCAAGTCCCGCCTTCATGGCTGCTGCAGGGGGTCGGTGTGAGTCACCCATTGTTTGGAACATCGGTCTCAGGTTGTCGCCTCTTTGGCACTCGCTGTCTGCCGTTCTATTATGCCACTCGGGAATTTCCCTCTGCTTGTTTGCCACCAAGTCGTCTTCGTCGTTGGGGCTTTACGACGCACCGGGCGGCATGGCGTCGCCCGCCTCTCACTGGCAGGGAGGGCGGACACCGCCGGGAATCGAACCCCGCGCCCTTGCTTCCCGGACGCGCTGCGGTTACACTGCACTATCGGCACCCAATGTTTGCCGCCAATCCAGTCGACATTCTACTTTGACCAGTTTTTTTGCTCGCCGCCATTTAGCAGTGGGCACTAAGCTTTCGGCGAACAGCCGGTCACGACAGGAGCTCCCCCCAAATTCAGTCGTTCCCCCGCCGCCCCTGCAGTGCAGCGCGGGCGGCACAACAGCTCCTGCCACGGCCTGGCTGGCGCCGGCTGGACATGGTGCCGCACATGCGCTGTCTCTGTCGCGGGCCTGGTTTGCTCTTCGGCTTCTATTCACGCGCGGTGAGGCAAGCCCAGCCGGACGCGGGGGCTTTCGGGAGTGGCCGAGCCCCTGGTCGGGTGGGGTCCCACGCTCCTGCCCCTGTGTCGATTCGGCGGAGTGTGGGTCCACATGGGCCCCACGCCCCCGTCTCTTGGTCGGTTCAGCGGGGGTTCGGTTCCACATGAGCCCCACAGCTCCCATCTCTGTTTGCAGGCCGGCGGCGGAAGTGGTTTGACTTGGAGGACGCCGTACGGAGGCTGAACGACAACAAGCCCGTGCAGTCGGGGCTACCATCAGGTCAGTGACCCCGCGGGATAGACCCTCGTCGCCCGGCGCCAGTCAGGCGAACGTGAGTGGTCTCGCATGCGCGTCAGAGCTGACACAACACAACTGTTATTGGCCTGGTTGGCGACAGATGGTTTGCAACACGCTTTTTGTGCCAAGCCGGTGCTGGGTGTGATTTAACGTGTGTTACGTAACTGCCTGGCCATAGACGAAGGTTTTGAACATTTTCGAACGAAGTTTGGGCGTGATGGTTGACATAAGCAAGGCGAAAGTCAGGTGTTTGTGGTTCCTTGCTCGTTCCTTGTTTGTTGTTCCGAAGTCCATTACCCCAATTACCATCGACATAAAACTTATACTTCCTTGAGCTATACTCTGATTTCCCGTGAACTTTGCTCTATCACGGCGTGAGGCGTAGACCGCTCCCAACCAATCAGCTCGCGAGGAAACGCACTGAAAACATCGCGGTGCAAGTTGTGTCCTGCCTGCTTCCAAAATCTGCACGGATATTTGATCGATGGTTGCAAAGAGTTTTTCTGACAGAACGCGACGGGCGTGTGGGACCAAGCCGCTCAAGTGGTTGCTTTTCCCACGGTTTGGGCGGCCCGCCCCTGGTCTCTGGGCCGCGTTCCAAAAATCGGGCGCCATGTTCCGTCCCCGCGCGACCGCGCCCTGTCGCGCCAGACCGTCGGGTTGCGCGGTCTGTGCCCGGCCGCGGCCGGTGAGAATGTGCGGCGACCCGGCCGAGCCGACCGCTTGACACCGCAAGCCGGGCCACGTCACCGTCGAGACAGATGGACGCGCCCTGCCAAGTCGCATTGGAAGAGGACGCCTGAGGATAGCCGCGAGCAATAGTCTGTCGCCGCCCTGTGCGGCGATCAAGGCCAGCATTGTTGTCGCAGGGCGGGGGCGTGCCAATCGGAGGCTGGGGCCCTGCCAGCGAAATCAGACTGACCAGCGGGCCCGCGGCGCGGCTCCTTTAATTAAGGTCATGCTCGCTTGCTGCCAAGCTGCTCCGACGACGTCTCGTGCGTGTCGGCACGAATGCGGCTGCCGCGGCACTAAGAGGACTGTCACGGATATTGATCTGCGTGTTTGACAAGCCAAGATATGGGGGTCGTAGTCGTGGCTATAGACGAGGGACAAAACAAAAGATCGAAGGACATTTCAATCGGACATGCAGCGGCAATGTATGGCGCCCAGACTGATGCTCTGTGACTGAGTGACTCAGGGTTCACCTCGTTTTGTATGTAACCCCCTTACAGAGCCGGCGTGCGACAAGCAAAGGGTTGGCCAGGTTCATTTGGCGAGGCAGTTTTTCGGTTTCCAACTCGCGGTAAATGCACGCCCTCCTGGACCGCCTGTACATTTGCGCTCCCTCATCTGTCCTGGCCCGATGTATGTTTACTGTCGCGTTGCGCAAGGATTTGACAGCCAAGTGTAGCCAGAAGTGAATCATGCCCGTCACCACGCCATCACCACCGCGTCGTCGCGTCATATTGCTGTCATTCCGTCACAAGTCTGGGATTGGTGATAGCGTTTTTAAAGCGAAATGAACCTTGCATGGATGTAGAAGTCACAAATTGAACGACAGGCAGTCGGAGCACTGCACCTGCACTGCGACAGACTGGCGTCGCCCACAGTGCGGCACGGGGACCTTGTGGGTCCCCTGGTGGACTCGGAATCACGGGCAATGAAACTGTTAAGATTCTGTCTCGAGGTCAAGGTCCTAGCACTGTGAACCATGTTCGCGACGTGTTGGAAGGCTGTACTCAGTGATAATCCACTTCGATTAATCCTATGAATGATGGTAGCTGATGCAAAATTAAAGCGAAAATAACGGCAGCGTTGCAAAAGATTATGGTGTAGTTTTGGCCGCTAGCGTCAGGCGACAGAGGCCATCTGCCCCCAAAACGAACTCCGGTTAACTCCCGGCGCCAAACTCCCATAACCACTTGCGATGAATTCAGCGTCGCTAACGACGCTTTGTCCACAGGTTACTCCTCAAGAGCAAAGAGAAGGATTCCTGACCAGGCCTGTAGTGCGGCCGGCGGCCGGCGGCTGGCGGGGGGCGCCACCGTCGCTGCCGTCAGACGGCGGCGCTACGCTCGGTTGTGGACGGGTGCCGATGGACCCCGCGCCCCCGCACTCGACCGGCAGGTGGCGTGGCGTGGCGGGCCTGAGACGACGGGCGGCGCGCGACACGGGACGACCTCGGCCGGGGCTTCCCGGCCCTCACCCGTGCATAGGCAGAACCGCGCACGACACACGCTCTGGCAGTGGGAGGGTCGCGGTTTTGCCCGTGCACGACATCAGATCTCGGGGCGCCGCCGGCGGCTGACCAGACGCCGCAGGACCGGACCGGACCGGACCGGACCGGACCGGACCGGACCGGACCGGACCGGACCGACCGGACCGGACCGGACCGGACCGGACCGGGCCGGACCGGGCCGGACCGGGCCGGACCGGACCGGGCCAGGCCGGGTCGGGGCCGGGCGCTTATCTCGTCCATCGCCTGGTCGACTGACACCCATCCAGGCATCGCACTACGGCCGCCCGCTCCGCCGGACGTGGATAGTTTTGTATGGAGAGGCGGTAACCGCATTGCGTGAGCTTCATCGAAAGTATAGCTTTTTGAATTGTTTATCGGCCGTCGCCGGCTGCGCCTCGCCGCAAGCGGACGACCGCACGGCGCTCTTCAGCCGCTGCACTAATGCTTGCTCGCGCCCCTCGCCGCCGGCCAGGAGCGCCAGTCGGTCAGCGGGGCGGACGCACCGGCCCGCCGACGCCCGCGCCGGCCTCGCGCACGGCCGCTGAGCCGAGTGCCGTTTGTCGTTCGACGGTGATAACAGTGTTGCCATGTGCAATATCGTTTGGCAGGCCCCACGCCGCGAGGCAGCGGGCCAGCGTCAGCTGTTTCGGACGGCGTTTTGGCTGTTGCTGGCACAGCTGTGCCGTCTGGTCTCGTGTCCCTTCGAGCCTTTCTCTGTGATTTTCCCGTCGGTATGCTTGCGTTCTGGTGGACCTTCCATGTGCGTCGCTCGCCACGAAGGCGACTCGGCGCTGTACGAGACGGCGCGCTCTTTTGCACTGACGCGGCACGGAGAGGCGGCATCGGCCCGGCAGCGGCCGCCAAGCACGAAGATCTTCCCGCGGGAGTCGGCCGGTCGGGCCCTCCGGGCGTGGCTCCAGCGGTGTACTTCAGTGTTACGAAACTGAACGCCCTTTATTTTGCACGTGTTCGTGGTCACTGGGGCGGCGCGGTTGCGTCGCGAGGGGTGTGGTGCGCTGGCGTCGCGGTCGCCCTCCCCGACAGGCGGTCAGTACGGGTTTGGCGCCGCTCTGCCGCGCCAGCGGTGCGCGGGAGCCGGAGCGCCACTAGCGCCGCATCGTGGCGAGTTTGTGCACTCGAGCTGTGCCGCGCCGCCGCCAATGGGCTGGCCGTTCGCGCTGCTGTGCCGGGGCTGTGGCTGGGGACGGGCGCGGCCGCTGGAGCAGCGTCACGCTCGGCCGGGGACGGCCGACCGGCGCTCTCACACGCACAGCTCGGCACGGGCGCGCCGTGGACTCAGCACTTCTGTTAACCGGTCATGTGGCGGTGCTGTTTATTTTCGTGACGTGGATTCAATATATGAGATGGTCATCCTCCCGACTTAACCAGCGCAGCGGAGGCGATCCAGCGGTATTGGTGACCACAGGCCGCCGTCTAGCGTGCGGCGCAGCTCTGCGGTCAGTGATCTCGCGGGTCGCATGGGATAATGCTCGCCCTTGTGCATGTGAGATTACCGTTCTTGGCATTCTGGATCTGGGCACAAAGAAGCGCCTGGTGGAGTAATACCATAGCTTGTTAAGTTAAATTTCGTGAGCGGCGACAGAGATACCGGATGAAGGAATGCATATCTTGATTAAAAGCGAGGAAGGGGATTCGGTATGACTGTCCGTTGACATGCATGTTTTTGAGGACGGTGTGACCTTCGGGTCAGAACTGTATATCTGCACGGGAATCCTTTCACAGTTTTGCATCTGACACGGAGGAAGAAAAGGGAGCCCATACGTATAGAAAAGGCCCCATACATAACGTTGCTTTCGATGCATTAAGATGCACGTTGAAACACAGGGCTGGAAAACGTGTCAAGCTCTGTCAACAGACTGTTGCACAGAAATGACAACGAAGGGGTTTTTCTTAGTTCCCAAGCAGGTGTGTCGCGTGGAAAGCAAACCCACGAACGTCCCCGCCCGCTGCCTACGGCTGGAGTGGAGCTGCGTATCAGCGCGCGCGCGCACATCCATGTTTCATGCTGAGGCTTTCCTACACTCGCATGCAACGCATGGCCAGTAATGTATGCATTGACATTTCCATTTGTATATAGTAAACGGCGAATACTTGTGCTTGGACGTCACCGCAGTACGTCTTTGAAAGGAGCCAGACTACGTAGCTACGTTCTCGTCTCAAGCATGTAATGAAGTTGTTAAGTCACGTCAGTGTAGAGAAAACTGCGAGCAGTTTACTTGGGGAAACGTCGGGGAAGGTAGGGAGGACGTGGAACGTCCTAGTGTTCCCCGACCGGCTGAGACGCTTGGGGGCTTTCCATGTTTTCTCCAGCCGAGCCCCGGCCGTCGGCCATCGTCAATGCCAAGGATTCCATTTCGTGCTCCATAGCGCTAGCTCTGGCTGAGGCTCTAGTGGCAGCCTCCAGGAGCGCTTTCTTCAAAACCAAAGGTACTAACGTGGTAACAGATCTGCGCGAATTAAGTGCAACCAGAGAAAAAAAGAACAGAACGACACTTCCCCGCTGCATCAAACACGGTGTCCTTTATTAAAAAGTTTCGAAAACCTGTATTGTATGCATACACTCGTACACACCTTACGCGGGTCCGTAGCGCACTTTCAGGCACCAGAAATTTGGACCGCCCCGCGCCTGTGACAGGGCGCCAATCCAGCAATATGACACGTAAAAGACACTACGCGAGCACTCCCATACTCCCCCGCCCCTCCCAATGAGATGATGGAGGGTGTGGACAAGCCACTGATGCGACAAGTCTTCCCGCATCTGTATTGGATGATGGTGCCGCTGATGACGGTGACGGAAGACGATGCCACTGCTGACGGCGTGGAGCAGGACGGCGATTCGGCGGCCGCGGGCGTTGCCAGGTGGCGCTGCGGTCGCACGCGGAGCGGAGCCGCAGCCGCCGCCGCTCAGCACTCGTGCACGTCCACACACTCCCCGCCCTCCAGCTCCAGCGAGTCGGCCGTGTCGGCCGGGTTGAGCGTCTCGCCGTCGAACCGGAACCTGCGCACGTCCGGCCCGGTCAGCCGGCGGCCGGGCGAGCCAGGGTCAGCAGCGGCGTCCGCCGGCGCGCGCGCCACCAGCGGCGTGCGCGGGACGCCAGCGCCCAGCGCGGTCACAGATCCGCGGGCCCGGCATCGGCTCCATCGCGGCCAGCACCAATGGTCACACCCTCGGAACGTCAGCTGACCAAACCTATAGCAGAGGCGAGGCTGACCTGCCCCAAAACCGCCCTCACCCTAGGACTCGGTCCCAACACTGCCCTCGGCTAGACCATGACAGCGGCCCACAGCACCTCCCTCCATCCGCACACCTGGCCGATGTTGGCCTTACCCCACCTGACCTGACCTGACTTGACCTGACCTCCGCCGCCGCCCGCCCGTGGCTGGCTCACCGGCGGCCGCCGCGTCACCCGCCTCACCTGAGCCGGTCGAGGGGCCTGCCCCGCTGGGCGGCGTACCGCGCCATCAGCGACGCCATCGTCTCGGTGCGGGCCAGCCGCAGCAGCAGCGTCGAGCGACGGTCGGCCGACTGCAACTTCAGCTCCACCGAGTTCGGCCCGGGCGGACCGTCCGCCGCGGCGTCCGGCGCCGCGCCCGAGCCCTCCCAGAAGTCTGCCGCGCGCCCCGGGCGGGTCAGCAGGTGCCGAGGTCGGGCACGACGGCTCAATACCAGTGCGGGGTGTGAGACCGTTTGGTTTTGAGCCAAGGAAAGGCGCAATTGAGCGCGGGTGTATAGCGTGCCTTGCTGGGGTTGAAACGATCGACGGAAAGGAGAGAACAGCGCGAACAGGCCTTGGGAGGACAATGCGCAAATAATTTTACAAACGTGTCCGCTCTAACTGAGCGCAAAGGTAAACAGGTGCCCCTACGAAACGACGTTTAGACTGCCACTGGTTCAAATACAGCGTGTGGACGCATTTATGGATGAGTTAGTGCCATTTTTGTAAGCACATGGAAGGGAAGGCGACAAGGCTGTCGTTGGAGAGAGACCCGTAACACAAGCTAATTTCTCATCTGATTTCCTTTCTCTCGTGAAATGCAACCACAAGTATTAATACAAAACAGATGAAGGCAACAAAAAAGCATTCAGAGGTGACGAGTTCGCACGACATGATCTGGGACTGCGCGGGTTCACGTCACAGTGCGGCGCAGCCGCGCCTACAGCTACGGCTACGGCTACGGCTACGTCTACGTCTACGGCTACGTCTACGGCTGCGGCTCACCGATGACGTCGAATGCGCCCAGCCGGACGTCGTCAGGTGTCTGATGCGGCCGGTACACCACGTCCCGCTGGCCGAGGTAGACGCGTCCGACCGGCAGCGACAGCTGCTCAGCCACCGCCTCGAACAGACGCCGCAGCTCCTCCGACTAAACGGGGACGGGCGCGCATCAGCGCGGCAGGCACGATCCCTCGCTCCGTGCCCATTCCTGTACCTGGGACCATGCCCGTGCCCGTGCGCGTGTCCGTGCCCGTGTCCGTGTCCGTGCCCGTGTCGGTGTCCGTTCCTGTACCCGTACCCGTGCTCGTGTCCGTGTCCGCGTCCGTGTCCGTGTCCGTCCCAGTACCCTTACCCGTGTCCGTGTCCGTTCCTGTACCCGTGCCCGTACCCGTGCCCGTGCCCGTGCCCGTACCCGTGTCCGTGTCCGTCCCAGTACCCTTACCCGTGTCCGCGTCCGTGTCCGTTCCTGTACCCGTGCCCGTGCCCGTGCCCGTGCCCATGCCCGTGCCCGCGTTCGTGTCCGTGTCCGTGTCCGTCCCTGTACCCGTGTCCGTTCCGTGCCAGCGCTCACACAGCCCGCCGACCCTGTGCTCACTTCCGCCGACCCTGCGCCGCGCACTAACCCGTCGCATCCTGAGCCGGATCAGCAGCGGTCCGGCCTGGACGCGCGCCGTGAACTCCGGCTCGACGGCGGCCGGGGCCGGCTCCGGCCGCGCCTCGGCGACGTCCTCCTGCAGCGCGCCACACGACAGTCACGCGGCGGCACAGCGCGCCAGTCGGTCGTCGCGCTCCTGAGCGCTCCCTAACAATGGACGGGGGCAGAATCGCAAGGCACCTCGTCCGCAAATGTGACGACTTCAGAAATTTCCAGATAAAATTGCAACGTCAGGTTTGATTATTTTGATTTTGCTATGCGCGTACTCGTGAGCATTTAAACGTGCAAATTTGGGCCCCACATCATCGTCTTGCGTATCAACTCCACCCGAGAGCAGCCTCCACAAACGACGCGCGTCCACAAGCCGTAGGGCGTAGCCATGCGTCTGACAGGCGGACGGCAGCACCACTGCCCCAGCTGGGACCGGACGCACCTGCGACAGCTGACTGAGCAGGTCATCCACCCAGCGGTCCGGCTTCGGCGATAGCTCCTCCGGACTCGGGTCCAGCTCTCTGCGAGCAGAGCGGGGCTGTGGTGGGCGGAGGTGCAGCATACACGCGGCTGGTCACGGCGCAGTGAAGGAAGAGGACACTAAACACGCAGATAAGAAACCGACGCGGCGTAGCGGTTCACGTTCTAGGATGCTAACGCACGCGTGTTTTTTAATAAACACGCGACCGGCTCTTGGTGCTAACCAGTCCCCGCGCTGAAATATGGCGAGAGCGAGGTAGAAAGAAATCATTCGAGGTGGCCGCCACCCATCAACCGAATGGGATGACCCGAGATGCATTTCACTACGCCTGGGAGACCTCGCACAACGCGTTTAACCACCTCGTGGCTGAAGCAAGCCATTCGGAGCCGCACTCGACCCGCCGCCCGCAGGTCACAGACGCCCCCAGTCGTGCCATCCTCCGGCGGTGGGCGCCTCGGCACCTCCGCCGGCGCGCGCCGCTCGACGAGCTTACCCGGTGCCTCGGGCCGGCGGCGTCGCTTGCCGCGCCTGGGGCCGTCCTCCGCGGGCCGTTTGGTCGGCCGGCCCGCGCCGGGCTCGGGGCTGCCGGCCGCCGGCTGCCGCTCCGCGAGCGCCGGCTGCCGCTCCGCGCGCGCCAGCCGCTCCGTCGCCTCCTGCTTCAGCTCTGCGGACGCGAGGGGAGGGAGCGTCGGGGCTAGCGGGCCGGAGACGGGCGCGGCAGTACGGTCTGCCACACAATCACCGTCAAACACGGACAGCGGCGACGTGATACTCTTTCACCACGCACACCCAATAGAGGGACGGTAAGACAGGATAGTGGGAGGGGGAGAGGATGGAACGGAGAAGGGGCTTGCGGCGGAGAACGGAAAACTTAAGAACGAGAGGCAGGGTGCTGGTAAGGGAACGGAACGGAGCGGAACTCTGGGTACACAACGATGGAATGGTGTCAGAAATGGGAGGCCAAGCTCAAATGCAGGCCACAATGCCCGGAAAGGCAGGCACAACAAGAGATGCTGCCGGAAGTAATGGCAAACGGGAAAGCAGCCGGGAGCTCCAACAGCAAAAGCCAGGAAACTGACGTTATATGCTGTTGTGGTAGGCTCCAGACATAACACTTCCCACTGTCTACTTAATTTGCTGCGGAAACAAAACTTCTGCGGCCTGCTGGCATGTGGCTGCATCCACCCATTACTAATCGAGGTACCTCGCATGCTCGCATCGCACGATATCAGCAGGTAACATTGCAGAACTTGCCTTCATAGCGTCGAAGCGTTTTTACAAATATACTATCTTCTTCATCATCCATGTCACTGAGGTGCACAGATCCATCGCTGTCAACGTGGTCACCTTCATGACCGCCGCCGCGCTCCGCCTCTTCATTGTCCCCGGCGTCACGTTCACAACCGCGTGCCTGCGGTGCAGCACTCGGCGCCTGCTCAGCTACCACGACCTCTTCGTCTTCATCATCACTTATTTCGATGACACAGGTGGAATCCATGTTCTGTAGAACACGGAGTAAGACGTCAGGCCCGCCGTCTGAAGAAAATCATGTTATCACTCGCTGGGCCAGCAATAACTTCATGTGACATGAAAGACATCATGTTTGTGTGCGGACACAAGACAATGAAAAATTATAAACATTGAACACTGCATGGTGCAAACACATCTTGAAAGACGAATGTCATCTTTGCAGGCCATTACATCAACCCTATCCATAAAATGAGAACGGGTAGCTAGCACAACACACAACACCATTAATGCACCAAGATAGTCTGAAGCATACAACAAGCAATCTAAATTCTACTGAATTTCTGGTTCAAAAGTTCTTGCCACTAGTTACATGCGTATATCCACACACACACGCGCACGCGCACACACACACACACACACACACACGCACGCACGCACGCACGCACGCACACACACACACACACACACACACACACACACACACACACACACACACACACACACACACACACACACACACACACACACACACACCACACACACACACACACCACACACACACACACACCACACACACACACAACACACACCCACCCATACCCATACCCATACCCATACCCATACCCATACCCATACCCAACCCACCCCACACCCACACCCACACCCACACCCACACCCCACACCCATACCCATACCCACACCCACACATACACACGCTCGCGCGCGCACGCTGAATTACATGTTTTGATAGCTTTGGGTAAGTTTTAAATTTCAAAACGTTTTGAGATTTACTTTTGACATAGCCAAAGATGGATCAGACAGAACATATTCGTCTTGAAAGGTAGCTCACCAAGAGACATGGGTTCATCTTCTCATATATTCGTGGTTTGGCGTTCGGATACATCGTCCATTCTCTCCATTCTCAAAAGCAGTACGTGGCGCTTCATTTCATGCCGGCAGTTGATTCCTTAAAAATCAGAGCATAAAACATCAGCACACAAACAACGACGTATTTCTCATGAGGATAACGGCCAGTACCGTTTTGGCCCAGCAAAAACAGACCATCCTATAGCTGCGCAGAAGACATCATTAACATCACACACGGTGACCTACGCCATCAATATGACGAATCACAATGCTGCGTGCCGATGACCCAATCCCCATTTGGGTTCATCAGTGTCATATTTCTTGCCTGAATGATTTAATGGTGATGTTGCTCCAAAGAGATAATTTTCGAAGTTTGGTTCATTTGTCTGTTTAGTACTAGTGTGTGGTCATGAATGATTAATGTATCCAGAATGTTGCAGTTTCTTGCAACGTGTCCAGATGCTAAACTTTGCGTTTTGTGCGAGCATTTGACACGTGGGACGAGTATAACTGTGGTCGCGTTGCATGTGCTCTCTTGACGCCCCTTCCGTGACGGAGATCGTCAGGCGTTGGGACGATGTTGTTGTTACACCAATTCAGGGCACGGAACACAGCCTGCTACCTTCATTAGGACAAGACAATGCGTATGCTACATTGGCACGCTTCAATGTCTCTGTCTCGGTTGTCGTTTTTCATAAAGAGGTTTCTAGTTTTGCAACTTTTCAGATGTGGCTGCACTCTTAGCATATTTCCATCTACCACTGATAAGTTTTTGGGTGCTTAAGTTTTCAATAACTTCTAATCTCATATAGTTACTCATATAGTTACTCCCAACTCATATAGTTACAGTAGGTGTTGTGGATGGACTGGATTTCAGGTTTTTGATGATTCAAGTAATTACCAAGCATTATTTTTCTCAGTCCACTTAAACATTTATCTACCCATGTTCACTAGCATTTGTTTGAAACGATTGAGTTTGACGTCAGAAACCACACAACTCATGCTCATGCTCAACATGAGCATGAGCATGAGTTGTGTGGTTTCTGTGGTTGTTGGAGTTGTGTGAGTTGTGTGGGCATGTTTCTGTGGTTGTTGGAGTTGTTGGAGTTGTGTGGGCATGTGTATGTGTTGAGCTCAACAACACATACACATGCCCTACTTTCAAGTGCTTTGAAAACACTCTTTTTTAACAAGTCAATGAGCATGAGAGGGAGAGCATATACATTGAAGGCAATGACTAATGGTGCCACAGGCTAAGAAATATAGCACCCATTAAATGGCAATTCTGCAGCTTCAGTGGCCAAGTGGGGTCAGTAACAATTTTGGGGAGGTCTTTGTCTTTGCAACTGCTAATCAAGGCATGTGACATAAGTGAGAAATTGGAAACAAAATAGGTCACCCCGAGGGCAAAGCCCTATTTCCTGGCATTAACTCTGCTCACCTCATGTGAAATACAAAGGTGACCTGGAGCAAGCACAAAGTTTGGCAGCTGTCCAACCCTGAAAGTATAAAAGTGGCCTTTCTACACTGCAGGTGCCACCTAAAGTGGCACCTGTGGTGTTTAGAGCTCACAGGTTTCAGGGACACTCAGAGGCAGACCAATCACAATGACACTAGCAAATAATGGTTGAAAAACATCTATGGACATGTAACTGTCATAACACTTGAAATACAAAAAACTGCCCGTCTTTTTCAGATAAAACCTGAAGGTAATACAAACCTTATATTTTTACTAACAGTGCATGACAGCATAAACCCAAATAAATCTGAAAAGGTAGAGATAGGGATGGTAAATGTCATCTGCCAGGTTATATGTCCAGCATTTGCAGGCAAGCACCCAAGTTCTGTTATACAAGTGGGTCAGGGCCTTGAGGGCCTTAGCATGGAAAGACCTCACTCCATTCATACTGCTAGCCATTGCCAGTGCATACAATCTGTGTGTTTCTTAAAATTTTGCCCTGGGAGGTTAAGGCATAAACAAGTCATAATAAAAGAAAACTGCTACTTCAAAAGTGGAGCACTTCATGCAGTTTTTGCCCTATGTTTTGAATGTCCATATCCCTATTTACAATGATGTGGATATTCCTTGTTTATGCCACAAGCATGAGGAACAAACCACAAAGGAGCACTATAGATAATAAGTACCTTCTTAGGAATGCTTGAAAGCAATTGAGAAATCCTATGAATATGGCCAATTTGAATATAATATTGTGCACATTATGCCCAAAATGTGAAATTTAATGTGAACATAAAACAACAACATGAGATACATGCATCAGTTTGTAAATCAGTTGGAGGGGGTCAGCCCATAAGGTTGACCTAGCCTGCACCTGAAACACAGCCTCTTCCCTGACTTTAGCCACACACATTTGCATTCCTGATGTCAAAAATATTTGCAGAAGGGCTTCCCACTTCAAGCCTTGTGATCTTGAAGCTTTGTGAGAAGCCTAAAATTAACTTAAATTCACAGAAAACATCTCAGTAACATGGCCAATATGACCACTGGAAGGGTAATCCAAAGCACAAAAATGTCATTTCAAGCTGAATGGCATGGCCTGACACACAGACTAGAGCAGAGTGCACCTCATACATGTTCTGTGGAAACACTACAGAAAATGCATTATTTACTTCTAGTACATACCTTCAGACATCAGCACAACACCTTGTATTGGGTGTTGGGATGTGAATCTCAATAACCGGAAAGTTCATGATGCTAGTGTAACGATTTTGAGCTGTGATGTTCACAGTAACAGCTAAATGTGTATCTCATATCTTGAAACCAACATTATAGGTAAAAGCTGCTGTTGTTCCATCCATTTGTTTGTTGTTGTCCTACTCTCAGTAATACCAGGTTAAAAACCTGCCAATATTTGCATGATGGCCTAGCATATAAGGATTTGGAATGACAACCATATAGGATATGTACAGGTCCCCATCCAGCATTCTCAGTACGCAGTGCGCATACATACTCTTTCATCGAACGTATCACCAAGCGGCGCCACAGGCACTGCGGAAGACCACTTTAGCTTCAAAGCAAGGTCATGCACTTCAAAGCAACCCCGCTCGACGCAGTCAAAGCTGACAATTATTTTGAAAAACGTGACGCCAAGGCCCAGCGAAATCAAATCAACACAAGTGCGGAAAAATGCCAACTTTCTGCCAAGTATGGTCGACCTAGCCAGGTTTATTTAAAAGACCAGCCAAGGTTTTCTCCAACTGACGTCATGTTTAAGGTTTCCGGACAAACAGACGAATTGAAAAGACGAAAGAACAGAGCCGAACAATAAGTTGAGAGGGATAAGAATCGACAGAGAAAATGTTGATTTGGAAAAAAGACAGAGAACAAAAAGTCGACAGGGATAAACGTCGACGTAGTTTAAAGACAAAACATAAAATTCGACAAATGTAAGGAAGGAAAGGATATACGCCGAAAGACAGTACATCGTCGGGGATAATCTACTCTGATATGTAAAACAGCGGGAGTTAAAACGATTTCAAGCGGATGGGTAGTCGGGATTGTCGCCTTTTATAAGAACAGGATAAAACTGGTCACAAGGAGAAACGGATGGGACTGGAAGGGACTAGATGGCACGGAACAGGAGTGGGGAGGACCGTACGGGACCAGATCACACCGGAAGGTACTGGGCGAGACCAGACGAGATGGGACCGGATCGGATGGAACTGCACGAGACCACATGGGACGAGATGGACGGGACCTCGCCGAACCGGACGTCGGCAGACGGGACCACGGGTGGCTGCACACGATCGGGCAACAACGAGCGTCACCGGACGTGGTCGAAAGGGACCCGACGGGACAGGACGAAACCAGACAAAACCGGACGGAACCGCACGAGATCAGACGGAACTAAATGAGCATGGCGCTATTGGAAGGGGCAGGATGGGTTGAAACAATTTTTAAGCCAGCCTTTGTCGAAAGCTGCTACCTAAGGGCCTCCATGTCTGTTGTCT